TAACCAAGAAACTAAATAAAGCGAAAGAGTTTGGCAAGAATAAAATAGTAAAAAAGCCTTGCGAAATTGTAAAAGAAAGAGTATGTTGTATTGCTTGATCGTAAGAGGTCAAAGGTTGTTCTCCCTCAAACACATGCGTTTGAGGTTGTTTTTATAGAGAAAACATGATCAATACGGTCATTTACTGCTCATAATCGCATTGATCCGCATTAATTATGTAGGTTACAATTTGACCGAAACGGCTTGAATTTGAACTATCTTGGGCTTCGCGTGGATCTTCCGAACTCTTTCTTGTTGACTCCGAACTCTTGCGTCTTGACGCTTCCGCGAACCTCGAACAATATTCTCCTCGCTTCGGCCTTCCTTTATGCGAACCGTATGTTGAATAAGAGCGAACTCTGTACTGGTAAAGATCGAGCTCTTTAATAAACTGAATCGAACTTCCGACAGGTCGAGCTCGATTCTCGCAATGAAACATCTAGAAATCCAAGAGGATTATTATATAATAATGACGTTGACAGATCCAAATGGATCCTACCGAAGATGTGTGGGATCCGACCCCAACAATTCTTAATTACTAGCATTTCCTTATCTAACATATCTCTATCAATTCCAATTACCTAAAAAATGGAGAAATCGTAGGACATTAGCATAATTAATGCATTAATGAATCCGATCCAAATCTTCTCTTAAACTATAATTTTACAAAAAAGAACATTAACAATAATTTTTAAAAGTAAAACTTCAAAATCGAAATCTTTAAGAAAGCAAATCTATTAAAAGGAGAAAATCTTGATTAACACGAATATGCTAAATGTTGCAGCGGGATAAATTACGAAAGTAATCTTGAGTATCAATGGATCTCAAGCAAGACAATCGTAGCTCGGAATTCTAATGTTATCGGATATCAATGGATTCACGATAAACAAAGACTTCAAAGATTTCGTTTAAGAATACTCTTCTCAGTGCTTATCAAAAGCTCTTTAATTTTATTAATCAAAAACAACCAAGTAATACAAGAAGCCTAAGAAGGCTATTTATAATAAAACCCAAAAACCCTAAAACATAGAATATTCTAGAACAATAATTATTAATTAATTAAAATATGATAATAATAGATATTTCCAAATATCTCGCTGCATCACTAAACATTTGTTTTTAATTCGAATATTTTTTGTTTTGGAAACAAATATTAATTAGATTTGCACTACTATAATTATCGTAATTGAGATACTGCATAAAAATATTTTTAATGAATAAATAAAAAATCGTTAAGATTAGAATAAATTTAATATTTTTTAATATTTCATAATCATAAATTAAAATATGCAATTAAGATTTAGATTTTCTTGGTAAATATTTAATCCACCAAAACGTAATTAAAGAAACAACCATATATATATTATAGACTACTAGATAAGGACCCGTCCGATGGACGGCTTAATTTTTTTAAAATTAAAATCAAATTTAACAAAAAATTAATTACCAACGTTTTAAGTATAAATTATCTTTCAAAAGTAAGAAAACTTTCACCGTTGCATTATTTCTTTAGCCACTAAAATTATTGATTTAAAAATTATTTCGAATGAAAAAAATATCACATAATAATAACTCATGGTATACTTATATGAAGAACTAAAATTTAAAATATTCATCATAAAGTTGGCGAATGGTTCTTACGTATTCAAAACTTTCAAATAAACAATATAAAACTTTATTTAAAAGTTATATCATTTTTTCTAATTAGAAAATAAAATTGATATAAATAATAGAAATTTGTAATTTAAATCATGGCACATGTCGCTATCAAAAATCATTAGAACTATGATATATCATAAATCTTATATAATTCAAATTGAAAGTAGAAACCAAAATAAATAATTTAAAGATACAACAATTATACTAAAAATAAAATAAAATTGTAAATACTATGATATATGAATTTTCGATAGATTAAATATGATAAGAGAAATTGAAATAAACAATCTAACAATACTACAATCATAATTGAGGACAAACAAAAAATATAGTTAAGTAAAAAAAATATTACAAAAAGGGAAAAAAATTGATCTCTCATATTTCTAATTGAATGATAAACTAAAATAAATAATACGAGGATTAGTTTGATTAAATTATCACATATTTCTAATTGGAAAGAAAATTGAGATAACTAATATCAAATTTTAAATTAAATCATGACACATGATAAAATATTTGACTGATAACGGTTCATGATAATATTAATTACTAACTTTGAAAAACAAAAATATATCATATTAGTTATATAATAAGATATGTTTCCTTTTTTAATAAATTTCCCTGATTTTTTTTCTTGTTTTAATTGAAATATATATATATATATATTTTTTAATTATAAAAACGTGTAATCCCTTATTATTATGTTGAAATTTTTTAAATTTTTATAGAAATATTAATTACTTACAATTATCCTTATAGTTATCATTTTATATTTTAAAAAGGAGATTTTTATTTTACATGTGTCAAAATCTGAGATCGATAAATTTGCAACGTGTCACAAACCTATGAGTTACTAACTTTGAAAATCATATTTTATACAACTGGAACCGATGGAAAATAGCAATACTACCGATATTATGGAAAGCCCAGTCCAATCTATAAGATGTCGGATTGATGGATCTTGGAAATTCTCGGACCCAACTATGGGTATAGGATGGTGGTGTTTTCAAGGAACTGATCGAACTTTGTTGCTTGGTGCAAAATGCCATCGGAGATCCCCCTCCTCCCTTCACTCGGAGTTGGAGGCTTTAATTTGGGCTATGAAGAACATCCTTTCAAGAAGGATTGATTGTCAGGCGTTTGAAACAGATTGTTCTGAGTTAGTCTCGATGGTACAGTCTCCTGAAAAATGGCCCGCGTTCTCCAATCTGCTAGATGATTTGGATTTGCTCCGTGTTTCCTTTCCCCTCTTCTCGCTTTCTCTTATTTCTCGTTTATGTAATGTTAAGGCGGACTGCTTAGCCCGTTCTTCTAGACTTTTATTTTCTGATGTTACTTTTGTAAACTCTTCTCCTCCTAATTGGGCAACCAATCATGGAGTTGTTTTTTAATGAATGTGTGGTTGACAAAAAAAAAAAAGATAAGAAAAACAACCATAGATTAAAAAAATATAAATTGATATACTTAAATAAATAATACCTAAACAAAACCAAAAATATTAACAAAACCAATATAATTTAAAATTTTAGTTATAAAAAAATTGATCCGCGGTGAACCGCGGGTATAATCTAGATTTTAACTTAATGAACTGTATGTTATCGTTCCTATATTTTAAAACAGTAATCCTCAAACATAGTATTTGTACACTAAATAATATATAAATATGAGAGTTATATATTTAGGAAATTCAAAATATTAGGTCATATATATAGTTAATCTACTAAACAATTACATTTTGATTTTTTTTAAATATAGCCCCACGATGTACCACGGGTCAATGGGTCATTATTTGGTTATATTCAATTTCCTTAAAAAGATTTAGAAAGATTGTCAAATTTCTGTGTTATATAAGTTGTGATTCTAAATTCCAAATAATCTAGAATATAACTTTTCCAAAATATTATCTAACTAATTTAAACTAACTAATATATTTGCGAATCTCCTAATTATCAAAAACGATCTATGACTATAAATAACCATGTTAGGTTTGCGATATTAGTATCTTTCTCACGGAAATCATATCAGTCTCCATTCTCATATCAAATCTCTTTGTTATATAAGTTGTGATTCTATATTCCAAATAATCTAGAATATAACTTTTCCAAAATATTACCTAACTAATTTAACCTAACTAATATATTTGCGAATCTCCTAATTATCAAAAACGATCTATGACTATAAATAACCATGTAGATTTGCGATATTAGTATCTTTCTCACGGAAATCATATCAGTCTCCTTTCTCATATCTTACAAAAAAAATACAAAACAAATGGCTATAGTTAGTCGCTACACTCCTGTTAATTAACTCATAGGTAACCTGTTCAAATTCCCTTGCTTCTGACGATTTGAAGAAATCGAAGATGTTTGATCCTTTCACAACAATCTTTATCACTTCGTTTACCAATTTGCATGCCATTGTCAGATGCAAATTTGAAGATGTTAGAATATAAAGGATTATAAACAGAAATCGAAGATGAAGATTTATGGCAATTTGAAACCATTGTCAGATGCCGTCACAGACAAAAAATTCTTCTCAATTTCAGATAATTTTTAGATTTTGTTATTTATTTTCTATTTTTTTGGGGGATTTAATTTTTTTTTTTAGATAATTAAATATAAACCACTCTAACTAATATATGACTTATTTATCTTTCAAACAACACAATTGGGCCCACGAATTAAACTATGACACAATGCAAATATAAATCTAATTTGGCCCAAAATATAAAGCCTCTCATACAAACAAATTTAATCTTTTATCTTAACAAAAATTACACACCATATAAATTATATACAAATCAACACATTTAACATAATGTTTTGATACCAAGTCAGTCTAATACAACATTATATTCAAATAGTAATAAAAACAATAGTAATGAAAATCCTATACTATTATCTGGCATCACTTGCAAACTATATTATCCTATTATATTTTGAAACAAATTATACAATTTGATTCATACAAAATATTTAATCTTGTGTGCTGTACAGCACGAATCATGATCTAGTATCTTATAAAATGATATTATTTAAAAAAATATATTTAATACATAATAATTAAATTTTTAAAATTACTATTTTCAGTATATAAATCATCACGCGGTGTACTGCGGGTTAAAATTTAGTATAAGTAGTAAAACTTAAAACAATTTAAATAAGTTTTTGCTTTTTGGTTACAGAAATTTTAAAGAACAATAAATTATGCAAAATGTGTTAAAAAAATGCAATTATTCAGATTTCAAAAAATAAAATAAAAAATTAAAAACCACCTCGATTTCATCTAAAATTTACAAGTTTTTTATTTGTTATCTCCTCTCAGTATATATCATCGAACGCCGTCGCTCTCGCCGTTGACTTCTACCAGTGACCCCAACGCCGTCGATTTCCGCCTCGCCGGAAAATGTAACAGCTTCAATTTAAGCTCGTCTCTTCTCTTTCTCTTGTTATCTGTTTATTAGTATTATAGTTTCGGTTTTGCCTCATCAATTTTTGAATTCAAACTTAAGATTACATTATGAACATTGCTTCTACTTTTGGATTTGAATAGTTCAGTGGAGAAGACAATGGCGATGGAAGTTACAGAGACTGAGCGATGGTGCGTCGTTACCGGTGGTAGAGGATTCGCTGCAAGACATCTTGTAGAAATGCTGGTCCGCTACGAGATGTTCCATGTACGTATCGCCGATTTAGCTCCGGCGATAGTGCTCGAGCCTCATGAGGAGACTGGACTTCTCGGTGAAGCAATTAGATCCGGTAGAGTTCAATACGTCTCCGCTGATCTCCGGAACAAATCTCAAGTTGTCAAAGGTAGTTTTGCTTCGAATTCGATTTAGTTCAGTGATTCGTCGAATTCGTTTCGATGTTTTGGTAGCTGAAGATATAGTGGAATAGGTTTTCAGGGAGCAGAAGTTGTGTTTCATATGGCAGCTCCAGATTCATCGATTAACAATCACCAGCTTCAGTACTCAGTTAATGTTCAAGGTTTGAAGAAACTTCAATTTGTAAATTTTCTCTCTGTTTAGAACTGAGGATTTAGTTTTGATTGTTTTTTTTTCCGGACTTCTTTGTGGTAGGGACAACAAATGTCATTGATGCTTGTATTGAGGTTGGAGTAAAGAGGCTAATCTATACAAGTTCTCCGAGTGTCGTGTTTGACGGGGTCCATGGTACTTTGAATGCCGATGAATCAATGCCGTACCCACCCAAGGTCTTTCTTATATTATTCATAACTTGACAGGATTATGTGAAAATTTGGATGCATCATTTGCTTGTGTAGCTGTTTACTGGGAAACTCTATTGTTTCAGCATAATGACTCATATTCAGCAACTAAAGCTGAAGGGGAAGCTTTGATCTTGAAAGCAAATGGAAGAAATGGACTACTCACTTGTTGCATACGTCCTAGCAGCATATTTGGTCCTGGTGATAAATTAATGGTTCCATCGCTTGTTACTGCTGCCAGGGCTGGGAAATCCAAGGTTGGATCTATTTTCTTTGTTTATCTCTTTGGCCTTCTATATGTGGTGTATCTTACTTGTGACCATGCTACATATTGAAAGATCTGATATTTTGTAGATGTGTTTATCTATCTAAAAAAATGGTGTGCTTCTTAAGAAAAGAACGATCTCAATAAAATGATAAAAAGCTAAAGATGCATTGTCTCATGTCTTTTGCTTTGTCTTGCACATTCAATAATTTAGTTTACGCTTATGTTTTGGATTCTTTATTGTCCAGTTCATTATAGGTAATGGGAGTAACTTCTATGATTTCACTTATGTTGAAAATGTTGTGCACGCCCATGTCTGTGCTGAGCGAGCACTAGCATCAGGAGGAGAAGTATGTGCTAAAGCTGCAGGCCAGGTATTTGGTTTCAGTTGATTCCATGTTGTAGTTATCTAATATCACAGTGGTACTATGTTTTGCTGCTGTTGTAATTTTATTGTATATAAATACCTTTAGCCCTGTCTGTTAAAACGTTCTTAACTGTAATGAATGAAAGCATTGGGGCAACTGAATGAATAAAAAACGCGCAACCTTATGTCTGCTCCTTAGGGAATTAAGAGAGTCGGAAAGTTGGATGTCATTTCCTGCAAACATATATACGAGTTTGGCTCCAGTCTGGTTGTATTTGGACATTTAAATTGTCACCGTTGCTTTTCTTGGACTTAGTTTGGGTTTTAAGGTGACAGACTACATGTAGGTTGTGAATATGTGCTGATTTTCGAAAGTAAACAGCCCACAATATCTAGAATTATGGCATTTTTCTGATAGAAATGAATCATCTCCTCTTACTCTAGTCAGGGAATGTATATGAATCTGACATGAAATGGCTGTGCAGGCATACTTCATTACCAACATGGAGCCAATTAAATTTTGGGAGTTTATGTCACAGCTTCTTGAAGGACTTGGCTATGCGAGGTATATTTTCTTTAACAAAAGCTCAAAGAAGGTTCTTCCACCTTTTGGGGTTTTCTATGTCTGTTGTGATGTTAGTCGTAGTTAGATATCTCGTTTCCTTTTTTATCTGTTTCCTACCCAACCTAAGTAAAAAAACAATCACCTGAGTACTTTTGATTAATGTCTATTCATGATGAACTAATAGAAGTTGGTAAATTGTTATATGTTTTCAGGCCAAGTATAAAGATACCTGCAAGTCTCATGATGCCAATAGCATATCTTGTGGAACTAGCATATAAATTACTCGGACCATATGGGATGAAAGTACCAGTGCTAACACCTTCTAGAGTTAGGCTACTCTCTTGCAACAGAACTTTTGATTCCTCTAAAGCAAAGGATCGTTTAGGCTATGCTCCCGTTGTCCCACTTCAGGTTTATACAATCTTTTCTTTCATCTGAAACAGAGATCGATATATATTCTGCTTCGGCATTGCTTACCCTTGCACTTTCATTGTTCTTCTTTTGTAATTCTAGGAAGGTATAAAGAGGACAATAGATTCGTTCTCACACTTGGCAGCTCAAAATCAACCCAAAACAGACGGTACGTCTCTTGATTTTTTCTGCTTTGAGATAAAATCATATGAAGGTGTCAAAAGTCATACCATGGTGATTGCATGCTTTGGATTAGGAGTTTTACAATCGGGATAAACCGATCTGAACCGAAATAATCAATGCGGAAACCAAAACATGTTTGAATACGTTTTTAATGGATTTACTTTTGGTTAAAACCTGAACCTGAACCTGAACCTGAACCTGAACCTGATAGCGTACCAAAACATCCATGTTAGATTAGATAATTGAAACACTAGTAATCGTGGCTCATATACTGAGAAAGTCTTATTGATGGCATTTGCAGTTACTGATACAATTCAATGGAAAAAGCAGACTCTCATTGCCATAGTCATACTGATTACTCTCTATCATAACTTTGTTGCAACCACGGGATCTTCTTCCTTCACAATAACTGCTCTTTCCAAGGTTTTGTTGGTATCATCAATTTGTTTGTTCATCCATGGCATGTTACCAGAGAAAATGAAACTGCTCGGGAGCAAGAAGATCGACTAAAGAAGACTCCAAATTTGAGCTTTGTGTAAGGTAAACAACGACTTATCTTTTCCTCTCTACATTGATAAACGTGACTCCTGTGTAGATGATGGATGTTGCTATGTTGAGTTTTGCGTCGTGTATTCTACCCTTTGTAATTTCAACTCAGTAACAGTCGATTTCGGGTACTCTGATACCAAAATTTATGAATCAGTTTGGATCAATACTTGTGTTTGTCCGCTTAATTTATTTGGGAATTTCTCAATCCATCATAAAGGAGTCGAATTAAACCAAAGTTCAGGTTTGAACTAGAGGCGTTCAAAATATATTAAAAAAAATCAATCTACTTGCACTGAAACCCTCTTCCAAGCTAACGATGCAGGTTTAATTTCCCGCTACCTCAAAATTAAAACTTGCATGCCTATTGCTTTCACCTAACTCCGATGATTGTCTTCTTCTTCTTCTTCTTGACAAAATAATTTCACCTATAGCAGTCACTTCAACAATGGAAACGCGCGCCATGAGTAAAGAATTTATCATCCTTCAAATCTGTAGGAGTATTTCGACCATTCCTGGTATACAGACCATCGTTTGCAGGTAGCCAAGCCCATCTTGTTTCTTTTGAAGCACCCGTTGCGAATAATTCTCAAAGTACTAATTTTTTGTGTTTCAAATTTTATTTTATTTTTTTGGTTGAAAGGTTTTAAACTTTTAATGCTTCAACGAAAAGTTTTACTTACAAGAAAAAGAAAAAGGAAAAATTTCACAAAAATTGAAAGATATTTGTGCAAAAAAAGTAAAAGTTTGTTCCTTTTTGATCGAAATCTAGTTTGATGAGAATATGTTTGTTATATGATTCCAAATGAAGACGATGAATTACGTTGGCCTTATATACACTAGGTTATGAACCCCGCGATATCGCGGGGAACTCATTTTCAACAAATATATTTTATTACGTTTATGTATTAAACTATTATTATAATATATTCAAATAATTGAATTATTACATAAAATTAACTATGTCTTAAAGTTATATCGTAAATATTATCTAAAGATATAAAAAAAAATTATGAATAAAAATGTAAAAAAAAAAAATTATGATTAAAAACACTTTTGAAACATTTTTTGTGAATATAAAATTATTTATAAATGACAAAATAACTAAGAAGAGTTATAATATAGAGAGGAAAAATTCTTGCGGGTCAAAACCAAAAAGATATAAAAACACAACCAGAAAAATAACTGTCAACACAGAAAGTAACCGTCAATATTTTAACGAAGAGTTGCGATAAAAAGACATTACCGAGAAAAAATAACCGTCGATATTTTAACGGAAAGTTGCGATAAAAAACACAACCGAGAAAAAATAACCGTCAATATTTTAACGAAAAATTGCGATAAAAAGACACAACAAAAAAAGTAAATGTCAACATTTTTACGAAAATTTATGATAAAAAGACATATCAGAAAAAATAACTGTCAACGAAAAATGTAACCGTAAATATTTTAATGAAGAGTTGCGATAAAAAGACATAACCGAGAAAAAATAACAGTCAACATTTTAACGGAAAATTGCGATAAAAAGACACAAACGGAAAAAAATAACCGTCAATATTTTAACGAAGAGTTGCGATAAAAAGACACAACCGAGAAAAATAACCGTCAATACTTTAACGGAAAGTTGCGATAGAAAGACACAACCGAGAAAAAGAAACCGTTGATATTTTAACAAAAAGATACGATAAAAAGACAAAAACAAAAAAAAAAAACCGTCAATATTTTAACTGAAAGTTACGATAAAAAGACACAACCGAAAAAATAACCATCAATAAAAAATTGTAACCGTAAATATTTTAACAAAGAGCTAGTACAAAAAGATACAACCGAGAAAAAATAACCGTTAATATTTTAATGAAAAGTTGCGATAAAAAGACACAAACGAGAAAAGTAATGTTAATATTTTAACGGAAAGTTGCGATAAAAAGACACAATCAAAAAATTAATCGTCAACGAAAAAAAAAACCGTCAATATTTTAACGAAGAGTTGCGATAAAAAGACACAACTGAGAAAAAATAACCGTCAAACTTTTAACGGAAAGTTGTGATAGAAAGACACAAACAAAAAAAATGACCGTCAATATTTTAACGGAAAGTTACGATAAAAAGACACAACCGAAAAAATAACTGCCAACGAAAAAAGTAACCGTCAATATTTTAACGAAGAGTTGCGAAAAAAAAATACAACCGAGAAAAAATAACTGTCAATATTTTAGCAAAAAATTGCGATAAAAAGACACAATCGAGAAAAAAATAACCGTCAATATTTTAACAGACAAAAAAAGACACAATCGAGAAAAAAATATCGTCAATATTTTAACAAAAAGTTATGATAAAAACAGAAACGAAAAAGTAACCGTCAATATTTTAACGGAAATTTGCGAGAAAAAAACACAACAAAAAAATAACCGTCAACGAAAAAAGTAACCATTAATATTTTAACGAAAAGTTGCGAGAAAAAGACACAACCAAAAAATAACCGTCAACTAAAAAATTAACCATCAATATTTTAACGAAGAGTTGCGATAAAAAGACACAACCGAGAAAAAATAACCGTCAACATTTTAACGGAAAATTGCGATAAAAAGACACAACCGAGAAAAAATAACCGTCAATATTTTAATGGAAAACTGCGATAAAAAGACAGAAACGAATAAAGTAACAACCGATATTTTAACGGGAAGTTGCAATGAAAAGACACAACTGAAAAAACGTCAATATTTTAATGAAGAGTTACGATAAAAAACACACCCGAAAAAATAACCGTTAATATTTTAACGGAAAGTTACGGTAAAGAGACAACCGTTCCCAAAGTGCAAAATGCATTTATTGAGGTTGTTATTTTGGTTAATAAAACCAATTTGATATGTAGTATAATGGTTGATGTCAAAAAACTTCGTAGTATTACTAACTATACAAAAAATGCAATGAAATTATATAATGGAAAGACGTAACTTTAAATAAATAAATGCAACTATAAAGATATAATTGTAAACTGAAAAGATACGACTGTAATTGAACAACTATAACCGTAAATAATTCAACGAAAATTCAAAGAGAAAATTCAATAAAAAGACATAACCGTAAAAAAATAACAGATTTAAACGAAAGGTTGCGATAAAAAGACGCAACTGTTCAGATGTGCAAATGGTATTTATTAGATTGCTATTATATATAGATTAATATTGGTTCTGATTTATGGTAAAAAAATTAGGAATAAGAAGGAAGTATATCAAACAATACTTTAAATAGTAAAACAATTTAGGAATGTAAAATTTCCTCCTAATTTTTTTCCTTATTGGATTCTAATTTTTTTTATTTTGATGACTTTAATAAAATCTTAAAAGTAAATAAATGAAAGATTCTAAACATGGCTAGAAAGTTTTCTATAACCTTGTTGATTAATCTCATAAAGTTTTCCAAACAATCTCTCTATTTGATGATACTTTTTAGGGGCTTTTGCAAAAATGTCCCTTTTTCAATGCCACTTTTCAAAAATGCCCCTTCTTTAAAACCTTATAAAAAATGCTCTTAAAATATAAGATTTACCCAAATATGTATGTAACATTATGAAAACATACACAAACTACATTTCTATGTATCTAAAATCTTATAAATACTTTATAAATACCTTATAAATGCATTTTAAATACCTTTAAAAACCTTTAAAATATCTTGTAAAACCTTTTAAAAACCTTAAAAATCCTTTAAAATAACTTGTAAAACCTTTAAAAACACCTTATAAAACCTTATAAATACTTGGATCGAGTCTTCAAGTAGTAGTTACAATCCATAAGTACCTTATAAACCTAATAAAACTTTATAAAAATTTCAAATTTAAAAAGGGGCATTTTTGAAAATAGACATCTAAAAGGGGCATTTTTGAAAAGGGGCACACCAAAAGGGGCATTTTTAACAATTTCCCTACTTTTTATGACTTTTATTTTGTGAAAAAGTGTATGAAATCATAAATCAATAAAATAATAATTTAATTCATTAACCGTTAGAGATTCTTTTGCTTTAGTTGAATAACACAAAACTTTTTACTGACTTTATAAAATTCTTAATTCAATAAACCCAGATTTATGAAGATCTTAGAAGACTTTTTACAAATCAAAAACTAATAACACATTCTACATAACATTTAAAGTCATTAAAACACTATTTAAATCACACACAAATATTTCCACTTTAGTAGATAATATATCATCAATTAAAGCAAAATCTTATTTGTCAAAATTGTCCTATGCGTTATAACTAAATTGTCATTTTCATGCTCCGAGACACAATATTTAAGCATCTAAATTAAACCACCATGTAAAGATATCAAAAACGAGTTTATGAACTCTAAACCATAAACTCATCCTCATATCAAAAACATGGCGACATTGAAAACAACAATCTTCATCATCTTTGTTCTCTATATCTCATGTAAGCTTTCTCTATATACTATATATCTCTTACATTTTGATTATTCGGTCTAAAAGTCAAATAAAATATGGTATGTGTTTGCAATTAATAGGTACATTGTTTGCGAATATCTTTGGAGTTCAAGCCGATGCATCATGCTTGACAAAAAGAGAGTGTGAGAGGCGATGTTCCGATGACGAGGCACAGTGTATTCGTGGACAGTGCCAATGTCCGCACCTAAAAGTCGAGATTGAGCCGACCAAGGCGATACGATGCAAGACCGATCGTGATTGTCCTGATTCTCATCAATGCCCTAAAGATTATTATTATGCATGCCTTAATAATGGAGAATGTACTTGTATCTCTATTTGAGAAACCTTAAACCGTGATTGTTCTGATTCTCATGATCAATGACCTTAATCTAATATAATATTCTAAACCTTAAAATTGAACTAAAGCTCAAACTATACAAAATATCCAAAGACAATAATTATAAATATACAAAATCAAAAAATATATTATAAAATTAGAATATTAGACATAAAACATCCATGTGGAAAATCAATAATGTTAAATCTCTTACTAATAAAAGATGTTCATTGAGGCCTCTCAAGCCATCCACATCAGCATTTCTATAAAACCTTCTCATGATGCCACGTCAGCACATTTATGTTTTTCGTTTGCCTTAAACAGTTTTAAAACCCTCCACATAGACAAAAGAAATTATCGGCCAATCAGAAACTCTAGAACCATACACGTCACGGAAACACGCCACATCAAACATGCTCAATCCTATCTCTCTCTCTTCCCTGAATACTTCGTAACGACGACGATCTATCTTCCTTGGAATTAATTGTACTGATCCCACGCCTTAAATCAGCCTCTCTTCCTTACCCATACGATTCCCCTACCAAAACACCAATTACTCTCCCTTGCCATCTTTGAATCGATTGCAATTCGAATGCCCTACCTTGAAGCACGAGCTCCACCACTGAACGGAGAAAGCTAGGTCTATCGATTCCTTTCCAGTTTCTCTATCTAACATTACTCTCCCATCTGTTTTCAGGAATTCTCATATTGGTCTATGGTTATTTCCATGGATTATAAGGTATATTTGGAAGGCACGCAATCAAAAGATTTTTGAGAATTTGAGTGTTCCACCTCAGGAGACTTTAGACTTAGCGATTCATGAGGAAGGAGCATGGAGGCGAGCTAATATCCAAGAAGAACCCCATGCCGTGATGGAACTCAGCTTGCAAGTGGCGACAATTCCCGAGGACATACCGGTTTGCTATATAGATGGGTCTTTGCATGGGGAGGAAGCTAGGAGCGGGCATGGATGGATTGTTTATGTTGGAGGACGGATGGTGCACTTAGGCTTAAAGGGCTCACGTCGAAGTCTTTCCCCCTCCATGCGGAACTAGAGACTCTTTTGTGGACGATGAAATGTTTACTGGCGATCCCGACGACGAGCATTCTAGTGTTGACGGATTGTGCAGATCTTATAGAGATGACCTCAAAACCGGAGGAGTGGCCCACGTTTGCTATAGAATTGGTGGATTTTGGGTATTACAGGGAGTTGTTTTCATCGTTTAGTTTGCAGCATATCCCTCGTAGTGGTAACACTTCCGCTGATCATCTTGCGAAATGTGCAAGAGGTTGCCGGTTTTGCTTTTCCCATGTAAGTTCTACGGTTCTCGATTGGCTCTCTCTAGAAGAGAGTCCTCTACCGTGAATTAATATATAGTGCATGATTGACAAAAAAAAGAAAGAAAGTCATAGCACAATCGTACTAGAAATGAAAAATGATGAGCTAGTGTCACTTATCCTCGTCTTAAGAAAACCAACAACCATCTCCGAGTCTACCTCTAGCTCCAACCGAGGGATTTTCCTCTCCCAAACTAGATATAGACCATAACCATAATACACACCCCATAGCTCTGCCAACGGAGTCAGATAGATTCCTATGTTTAAAGCAAAACCTTGAATCCAGTGTCCTGAACCATCCCTCAAAACCCCACCTACCGTGGCTAACCCGGGATTTCCATGAGAAGCTCCATCCGTGTTTAATTTAACCCAATCATGCAGCAGTGGTACCCAACCACCCAGGCTATCTGTCTCTTCACACTTACCGACTTTTTAGGACCGCCACTTGCTATGCAATGTGCGTTATACACATCGCATATATTTGATAGATTGAAAGTTTTTATAATACATTGCTTTGATGATGGATTTTTTATATTCATCCCGCTACTACAATTTTAATAATAATTATATTAAAAACAATTATAACTTCCCCATTTAATTAATTCACAAGCAATGCAACAACATTCGACTATTCATATTTGAGTATTATATTGCGTATTATTTTTGAATTAGTAAAATTGATTTGTATATTCAGAAATAGAGGATAAAATTGTAGAAAATGGCTACTTGAAGTTTTTTTTTTTTTTTTTTTTTTTTTGCATAAAACCTAAATAACAAGAGTATATCTAACAAACTTTCAAAACTTCAGATTTAGTGGGTTTTTGGGTCGTAACACTAGGCATGTCCCGTTCTCGTCCCAAATTTTCCATACTCTTGGAAACAAAAATTTGCAGTTATCCGACCAAGAAATATTGTCAAATGGGTTCAAGAATTCCAAGATAATTCATTGGTTATTTTTTTCATTTTAGACTTTTAGTCATCAACACCCATTAGTCTTACGAAACTATAAAGAAAACATCTTAGTATATGTTATCTTCATTCTGAAACTAAAAAGTATTCATATTCGAGAAGGTCAAAATCCATTAGATTCAAATATTTGAATTTGATCCAATTTAATCACAAGTCCTAATATTACAGTTTTGTTTTTGTTAAAATATTTTTTTTTGTTATAATGAAAATGGTTTTCTAGTTTATTATTAATCATAGTTATTTTTTTAATACTTAAACTCTTTATAACACAACGTCCATATATGTTCTCTCTCTTGAGTGTTTCTTTCGAAGTACCTGATGATTTAGCGAATAAATTCAAATTCTCAAAATACTAATTTAATTTCATGCCTCAAATTTTTCGTTTTTTGGTTGAAAGGTTTTATTGCTTCAACAAATTAAAATGGTTTACTTACAAGAGAGGAAAAATCTTGCAAAATTTGAAAAAAAAATATGTGCAATCTTTTTGATTCTTATCTAGTTTGGTGAGAATATGTTATATGATTCCAAATGAAAAAGATGAATCACGTGGACCTTATATACATCAATATTAGTTCTATTTATGGTACAAAATTAGGAATAAGAAGGAATTATATCAAAAATTACTTTAAATAGTAAAACAATTTAGGAATGTAAATTTCTCCTAATTTGTTTCCTTAGTAACATCACCAATTATAGCAAAAAACATATCTTGTTTATCAAAGTCGTCCTATGCGTTAAATAAATTGCCATTTTCATGCTCCAAGGCACAATATTTAAGCATCGAAATCTCCATGTAATAATATCAAAAACGTGTTTATAAACTCTAAACCATAAACTGATCATCCTCATATCAAAAACATGGCGGCATTGAAAACAACAATCTTCATCATTTTCGGCTTCTATCTCTCATGTTAGCTTCTCTCTATATACTTTATATATCTCTTACATTTTGATTCATCGATCTAAAAGACCGAATAAAATATGGTATATGTATTTGCAATTAATAGGTACGTTGTTGGTGGGTATCTTTGGAGTTCAAGCCAAATTATGCAAGACAGATGAAGAGTGTGACCGGCGATGTCAAGATGTAGGTGCGAAGTGTATTCTTGGAATATGCCATTGTTCGCGCCTAAAAGTTGAGACTGAGCCGACCAAGGCGAGAAGATGCAAGACTGATAGTGATTGTCCTGATTCTCATCAATGCCTTAAAGATTATTATTATGCTTGCCTTAATAATGGAGAATGTACTTGTATCTCTGTTTGAAAAACTTTAAACCGTTATTGTTCTGATTCTCATCAATGCCCTCTATTATAATTCTTTTAAGGTCAAACTATGCAAATTATTCAAAGAAATAATTATAAATATAAAAACTCAAAAAGACATACAAGAATCAAAACAAAAAAAAATTGTATTGGTCGATTTTAACACTTTAGATCTATTGATTATGAAAAATTATTCCAACACACGAATAACGTGGACAGGAGATCTAAAAAAATTAACTAAAATTTTATTTAAAACCCAAATGTAATGTTACATGATCTCACTATTACACTTTGAATTTTCGGCTACTCCTCAAATTAACACTTTCAAATGCCTTTACGGAGATTACCTTTGTGGATGTCGAGGGAATCTCCATACGATTTCTTCATTGTGGGTTTTTTCTATTTTCATAAATCCAACACATTATCGAAGAGCTTCTTTATGTAACTCAAAACCTCATTTAGCATTAGAGAACTAAAGAATTATATTCATTCGTCGTTCTCAATGTTTTTGCTCTGATTTTTCAAAAAAGAGATCTTTGATAAAATTGATTAATTAGTATGTGAAAATCGACAACCGGATATCCGTCTCTACCTATAGGCATTTGCCAAGGGCCCTTCAATAGATTGAGACGGTATTGCAGATAACAGTCAACATGCATGCTTCTCAGAAGAATCTACCAAGCGTATAACCTAGATCACGCAAACGAAATTAAGAGTTACGTCGTCGCTTAACTGATTTAATTATCTAATCAATATATATATATATATATATATATATATATATATATATATATATATATATATTTATAGAAGAAAACTTGATTTATTAAATTATAAAAGGGTACATAACTCAAGAGTACAAACTGGTAGATAAGAGCACAAAATGATATGCCCGTTGCTTTCACCTAACTCTAATGATCTTCTCCGATTCAGTTTTCTTCTTCTTCAATTGTGATTCTTCTTCATCTTCTTCTTCAGATTTTTTTACTCCTCTTCTTCTTCTTCTATCTTCACATATGGAGCATAGATGCTTGACTTGAGTAGGTTTGAATCGTTAACATTAAGATCCTCAACATGGTTTGCAAAGACGTAGACTCTACTATGATTGCGGCGTTGGTATTCTCCAAGACCTTCGATATAAACACGTTGGAAAGTGTTTCTTTCGGGATTGAAGTAGCAAAAATAAAACGGTTGCTTGAACCTATAATCAGCCATCGACAAAACTATTTCACCCGTAGCAGTCACTCCAACAATGGAATCGAAATGAGCCAAGAATTTATTATCCCTCGAAGAGTAGGCATATTTAGACCATTCATGTTTCTCGACATCCTCTAGAATCCACACACGCAACTCAATGGCATCATTAGCGAAATAATCACGATAAATCACACCTAATTTACCCTTGTAGTTTATCAATTGACAAGAGCTTTCCCGGTGAATAAATTTGAATTTCTCAGAGCTAATATCAAAACAAACTATGAGCGGATTATCAGCAGACGTCTCACCTAAGTAATACAAAACCCCATTAATGCATATCCCTTTACTCATAATAGAATGTTTTAAGGAACATTTAATCCTTCTCCAACTCATGTCTCCCTTTCCTACTGTCAGAATTTTATGATGATCAAGACCAAATGGATAATCCATGAGCAAAACCTTGAATTGCTTGTCAATCGGATCAAACCCGAAAAAGGTATACGGCATTTGGTACCTTTGCAGATAAGGTAAGACCGCATACCGTCTTGTTATAGGGTTACATATAACAGGCACTCCATAGTGACCCTTCTCTTTGATCAACATACCGTAGAAAAAGATCAAACCAGAGGCATAGACACATGGAAACCAGTGGTTACTACGTATATTTATCTGCATATTGTCTGGAGGGAACTTCATATGATATTCGGCAGCTAATACTAGAGACGAAGATGACTTCTCATACTGCTGAGGCAACGAGAAGAAGCTCCACGAACCCCTTTTTTCGATGGCGAATAAGAGACGTGGCTGAGCAGAGGTCCGGGTCAGGAACAACTCTGTGAAATATGGAAGACTAAGCATTGATGCCCATAGCTTCGACACGCACTGAAACCTCGCGATTGACTTTGCTGGCAATCGCGACAATATCTCGAGGACGAGTCCATCGGGGATGAAATCTGAAATCATAATCGTTCTATTTGCTGATCGAACACATAGAAAGAGAGATATGTTAAAACTTATATTTAAAAGTAGACAATAACCAAAAATCATAGTTTATATTTATGAAGAAGTTCCAGAGATAGAGATAATGACCGAGTTTGAGAAATGACATCAAATACCTTACGAGCTTCACATAGTTCTACCCATATTTCAGAGTTATAAAAAAATTCTATTTGTGAAACTGAAATTGATACAAGTGAACCTAAATCGTCAATGTAACAGAGACATGCATTAAGATAAGAAAATTACGTAGAAGAGATTTTTTTTGTTTTCTTCACCAAATAAGAGAATCTAGAGAATGAAAGAACTATTTAAAAACTCACTGACGAAACAAACGGACGGCGGAGACGGATGAACGGTCTTCGAGGGTTTGGAGGAGGATAGTTTTTCGCCGAGCTTAAAATATTCACTCGCTAGGTTTAGGGTTTTTTTCTTCTAAGAAGTCCTATTATCATGCAATTTGGCTTTTTTATCAAAGACTAGTGACACATATAATACTTAATATTTATCTTCTACAAAACTTTATCATTATCTATACATTTGTTTGCAGGTGGATTAACTTGTTATCAGTAGCGGACCCAGAAATAAATTCTACCCGGTTCAATATTAAAAAAAAAAAACTTTCATAAGCAAATGAAAAAGGGTATATAAACCGCTGTTAGTTTTTATTTTATTTTTAGAGTATATAAGACAAAAAAAACATGCATTTAAGTTGAAACGAAAAAAAAAAAAGTAAATATGTAATTTGGGATGCTTGAACCCAGGTTTAGATGGGTCAGCTACTTGGAAAATACTAAAATGTATTTGATTAGTTTACCCGGGTCAGATGACCCACCTTTCTTGTAAGAGGGTCCGCACCTGCTTATTATCCGATAAATTCGGTATCCAATCCGATAAAACGGATATATCAATTGAAGAAAAAGAAGTGTGTTCAACGTCCCATATCGACTAAAATGTTTAGATATTGATTCAGAAACATATTAGAAATAATATTAAAATGAATCCGAATCCGAATGAACAAGAAGCTCAACTTAATATGCATCCAAATTTAAAATAATATACCGTTTCATTCGGTTTTTTTAGTTTAACTGCTTAATTTTACCAGAAATGTTAAATTTTAAAATTTTAAAAAGTTTTAAATAATATAATTCATATATTTAAAATCAATAAAAAGTTTATAATATTATGAACATATATAAAGAGTTACAATAACACGAGACATGTTATATTGGTAGACAGGATTATATAACGGGACGAGTTTTTAAGAAGTTTTAAATATTATAATTCATATATTTCACATCAATAATTAGTTTCTAATATTAAGAACATTTGAACATATAAATAGAGTTAAAATAAGATGGGACGATTATATTGTAGGATTATATTGCAAAACGAGGTTATATTGCAGGACGGAGTTATATGACGGGATGAGTTTGAATTAAAAAAATTTAAAACATCATTAACACGCTGCTTCAATATGAGTTAAATCTTCATTTTGTTACTTTTTTAACACCACAAATATTTGACATATCGAATGATACTAATTAAAATAACATTATATAAAACAAAAATTGTCTTGTAGTATACCGTTACTTAACAACAATTATAAACTATAAAATATAAATATCTTATAAAATGATACAATTTGCAAATTTTTATATATAATATATAACCATTAAATTTTAAAAATCATTAATTTTAAAAAAAATTGTCTCGCGGATTAAAATCTAGTAACATTTTAATAAGAGAAGTTTTGTTTTAATCATTTATTATCTACACTAATATCCCTATATTAACCAATTAAACTACAAAAAAGTTTAAATGTAAATAAATCTTAGAAATATGTAAAATTTCGTCTCAATATCTGAATTTCATCCCACCAAGAAACGCTTCCAATAATACTTAAATGATGATTGGAGTTTTTGTACTAAACTGTTAATGAGTTTGCTTTTATATAATACAAGTTTGGAAAAATTATGCAATTCGTGTTTTAGTAGCCTCATTACAAAAAGGTGATGAATAAATTTCAAGATTTGTTTTTAGTGAAAATTACTCAGAATAACCATATATTATATGAAATAACTAGAATGACTCTGTTTTGGAATGAATAATTAGAATGATTCAAATCTTTTGTAAAAAGACATTCTAACCTGATTTTAGTTTATATTAACGAAATTGCCATTTTAGCTTAATTAAAAAAAAAGAAATAAAAATAAAACATTTTAATAAAGACAAAATCACAAACAGAAAACCCAAACGACACCCACAAAACCCAAACCCTAAAAGCTTGAAAATTACTCCCAACGTTTCTTCTCCGGTGAGCATATCATCTTCTCCGGCGAGGCCTCTCTTCTTCTCGTTGCCGGATTTTGTGTCGTCGGCGACTCATCTTCTTCGTCGACTCGTCTTCTCCGGCGTTGTCTTCTCGCGCGAGTCGTCCTCTCTTCTTCGACGACAGATTTTGTGTCTTCTCCGACGGCGTCCTCTTTTCCGGTGAATCTACAGTGAGTTCTATTATTTTCTCTTCTCTTTGTGTTCTGTTTTTAGAGATTTTTTGGATTTGTCTCTCTCTGATTCTCAGATTAATGTTCTACAAGGAGATTACTCTTAGAAATCAGTGGCCTAATCGCAAAATCAGATGGTTGCGTCAAAAAGTACCCACAAATTTGTTTCTTGTGGTTGCAGATTTAGTTTTGATGCTTTGATTTCAGATTTTAGTTTATTTTTACTGATTTTGTAGTTCGTTGTGGCTGATTTATTTGATAGTAGTACAGATTTGTTTACCCACGAAGTTTGTTTACCACATATTTTTTAATAAAATTCATAGAGTACCCACAGATTTATTTTTTGTGCTTGCCTGCAGATTTAATTAATTAGGATGTTTTGATTTCAGATTTTAGTTGTTTTTACTGATTTGTTTGGAAGTTCACACAGATTTATTTACCAACAGAATTTGTTTACCACAGGTTCTTAACTAACAGAGTTCTCACAGATTTGTTAGAAGTTTGCAGCGTGTCTTGTTTGTGATTGCAGACTTAATTGTTGAGTAACTAAATTTGCAGCTCACAGATTTGTTTTCGTGTATATGTAGGAACGAATGGCGTCTTACCCTCCTCGACAATATGAAGAAGGGAAATCTCCGATACAAAAAAAGAGCATGAACCATGGTTGTTATTTGAGTGGCTTTGATAACTTGGAAAAGAAATTAGGAAATGAAGTGTGGAGTAAATTGAAGGAATCATCACTTGGGGTGTTTCTTAAGCTTTATGAAGAGAAGTATATCTGGTCAGCGCAGATTGTACATTACTTCCTTACGAATCAGTTGAGTATCCCTTCCATCCATGAGTTTTGGTCTGTTCTTAATGGTCAACCTATGAGATTTTCGCTACATGAATTCGAAGAAATCACAGGTTTAAATTGTGATCCATTTGACCCATTGGACAAGTTCGATGCTGACCATAGAGAGTTTTGGAAGGAAATGAAAGTTAGTACTGCGAATGGACCTACTTTGGATGAGCTGAAATCTGCTCTAGACATTTGCCACGAGAAGGGTTGGAGTGAGGAGAAGAAGATGATGCTAGGAAGGTTATTTCTCCTACAAGTTGGAATATATGGCTACAATCACGGATCAAGGATACCTTTGAGTTTTGCGAAAAGAGTGTTAGATCCAGAGAGCTTTGAAAAATACCAGTGGGGGAGAGTTGGTTTTACTGAATTGGTAGGCTCGATTAAAGTTGTTAACTACGAAGGGACCAGTTACACATTGCATGGATGTGTTCATGCGTTGTTTATATGGGTGTTTGAATCTGTTCCCGGTTTAGCAGAATTGTATGGCAACAGAAGGGAAACCTCTCCGGGTCCACCATTACTTAACTGGATAGGATCTCGTCCGAGATTCCTCTTTCGAGACTTCATAACAGATGAGAAGATTGAACATGGGGAGGTATGAAATACTGCAGACTTTTGTTTATATGACCACAAATTTGGTTAAAAATCACGACTAATTACCACAGATTTGTTGTATTGCCCACAGACTTGTTAATATGTTTGATGATTTGCTTATATGTAGGTTCGTGTGAGGCATATGGTTCCTGTTGCATTACATGATATGTACCCTAAGTGGAGTGACGATGATGCAAATAACCGGGACCCATTACTTCACAAGTTGATTGAAGATATCATTGAAGACCGTTTGGATCCAAATGGTTGGCCTGTAGTAGAGAGAGTTAAGAAGCAAAAGAATTCTCTTCCTGCTAAGAAGAAAAAGATCAAAAGATCTGAACAACAATCAGAGGTTTGTGTTTACTAGGATACAAATTTGCTCACACAGACTTGTTTTAAATATGTCCACAGATTTGATTTGGAATATCTGTATAGGATTCTGAAGAAGAAAAAAAGTTTCTTCCTGCTAAGAAGAAGAACAAGAAGATCAAAGGTGTTGACCTAAATTCAGAGGCAAGTTTTTACATGTCTCTTAAATTGATATGACCACTGATTTGTTTTGATATGTCCACAGACTTATTTTAAGTATGTCCACAGTTTTGAATTGTTGATCACAGATTTGTTTTGAAAAATGTGTCTAGGATTCTGGAGAAGAAAAAGAGTCACTTCCTGCTAAAAAGAAGACGGTCAAAATAAGTGAACAAGATTCAGAGGTTAGTGTGTTCTAAGACACATACTTGTTAGTTTGACCACAGATTTATTTTGATATGTTCACAGACTTGTTTTGATATGTTCACAGATTTATTTTGATATGTTCACCGATTTGTTTTGTTGACCACAGATTTATTTTGATATGTTCACAGACTTGTTTTGATATGTTCACAGATTTATTTTGATATGTTCACCGATTTGTTTTGAAGTGTTCACTTATTTTGATTTGTTTTGTTGACCACAGATATATTTTGATATGTTCACAGACTTGTTTTGATATGTTCACAGATTTATTTTGATATGTTCACAGTTTGAATTGTTGATCACAGATTTGTTTTGAAAAATGTGTCTAGGATTCTGGAGAAGAAAAAGAGTCACTTCCTGCTAAGAAGAAGGTCAAAATAAGTGAACAAGATTCAGAGGTTAGTGTGTTCTAAGACACATACTTGTTAGTTTGACCACAGATTTAATTTGATATGTTCACAGACTTGTTTTGATATGTTCACAGATTTATTTTGATATGTTCACCGATTTGTTTTGTTGACCACAGATTTATTTTGATATGTTCACAGACTTGTTTTGATATGTTCACAGATTTATTTTGATATGTTCACTGATTTGTTTTGAAGTGTTCACTTATTTGGTTTTTAATATGTCCACAGCTCCTAACAATGCTGAAAACAATCAACGAGACACTAGCAAATTTGGGCAACCAAGTTGGAAACATTGATGGAAAAGTCAATATGGTTGATCAAACATGTAAAACCAAGTTTGCTAAAATGGAGGAAGCTATCAAACAGCTGCAAGAGGGAGAAGTGAAGGGTCAAGCTGATGAAGTGAATAGTAAAACATCCACGGTTAGTTATGGCAGATTAATCTTTTAAGTTTGAGAGTTTTGTTTGATTTAACACAAGTCAGCTTTACATTTTTGGTTGGTTAAATGTGCAGTCGTGGATGGTAGTTGAAACGAAGGGGATTTTACAGGATCCTGATGACATTCCTCTTAAACAAGTTGTTAAGAATATTGCATCGGTAAAAAGGGGAAGAAAGATTGAAGAAATGAAAAAGGTTGTTGTGAAGAAAGAGAAGGAGGTCGTCAAAAAGCATGAGAAGGCTAAAAACCAAAACATCGACTATGGAAGCGATATTGAAGATGTAACTGAAAAACATTTCATAGAGGAGCATACAATGGCATCAAGTGGTGATGAAGAAGACATCGCTGATAAGGCGGTTAAGAATGTGGTTGCTTTCTTACACTCCAACCTCCTAGATGACACAACACCACTGACCAAACGAGTGCCAAAGTTAGCCAATTCTCAGAAGTTACCATACATTGGAAACTCAACTGTCAAACGCATCATCCCAGGTGTTATTACCTCATTGTACGACTACGATCCTATGGAGATGGTTGAAGAAAGCAAACTGCGCAAATTAATGGAATACATCAATGATGATGAGTATGTGTTCATTTGTTCTCTTTCACATACTAAACATAAACCTATTTTCTGACTTAATGTTCATCATCTACCTTGTTTTTTTTTTAGGGAGCAACCCCTTGGCAGCGTCAATACAAATGTGAAGTTCTACAAGGAGATTATTACTCCTAGGGATCAGTGGCCTAAACACGATTACGGATGGTTGCGTGATTCTGTTAGTATATTACTACTCTCTTTTGTTTCTTTTGTTTTTCTTTGGCTATAGATTTTTAGTTTTCATCACAGATTTGTTTTACCACCACCACAGACTTGTTTTTAAAAAAACTACAGATTCTTTTACCAATTTGTTTTACTATGACCACTGACTTTCTTTAAAAAGAACTGCGGTCACAGATTTTTTAATATGTTTACATTGTTTTTGTTTTCCAGCATATGGATGATGCAATGACCATGTTTCGTAAAAGGTCAATGCGTAAGGATTCACCTTTTCGCAAGAGGGTAGGCTTCATGGATCAATGGTTCAGTAGTATAATGGTTTCAGATTTCAAGAATTACAACAAGAAGACCTTCATGTTTCATGAATCTTATATGGAACATTTCAATGGTACTGCTCCGCGACACTCGGCGACAGAGAAGAGATGGTGGCTGTGGAATAGGAGTTATACAAGTACGTCTTCTGAAAGTAGGAATGACAAATTGATATACGGGAGATCTTTCTACTTTCAGCTGCTGCTATTGCGTGCGCACATGGCAACTTCTCCAAGTCAAACCTACGACATGAACACTTTTTATCTCTCAGATTTACAACATGTAAGGATGATCCACTTGTCACTTGCACTTGGGAAGCATCAATATCTTGAACTCTTAGAAGTTTTGCATGTTCAACACGATTCTGTCAAAACAAAATACAATAACATTAAATCTGTAGAAAAAACAAACAAATCTGCAGTTAAAAAATCTGTTGTTTACCTCAAGCAATTTTTCTGCTCCACGGGTAAGAGATGTTTTCATTTTCATTGCATCAATCCTTCGATCTGAAAACCATCTTGTCATCATGGATCTCACAACTTCTAACAGTTGTACGATAGGCAAACTCCTAGCTTGAGACAGAACGTTATTCATCGACTCAGCAATGTTACTTGTCAGAAGATTGTATCTATCTCCAGGGAAATGCACACGTGTCCACAAGCGTACATCAGCTCTTTGGAGATAACTATGAAGTTCTGGATGTAGCGATTGAATTTGATCGAATATTGTCTGAAAATCAACAAGTCTATAAGCATTGGCTGCCTTTTTCACCAAACCAAACGCTTCCCGATCTTTAAAACGGACCAATATATTCTTATATAAATGGTATGTGCATATCCCACGACTTGACTTCGGATATACTGTTGCAATAGCTTTTGCAATTGATTGGTGCCTATCTGAAATCATGGCAAGGCCCTCGTCATCAGGAATCACACAACTGAGTTGTCTGAAGAACCATTCCCACGATTCATCGTTTTCTGTGTCAACCACCGCAAAAGCAACAGGAAATATCTGAAAATTACCATCTTGAGCTGTAGCGGTAAGAAGTCTCCCTTTGTACTTTCCTTGCAAAAATGTACCATCAACAACCACCACTTTCCGCATGTATGGAAATCCATTGATGCTTGCACTAAATGCTAGAAACAAATACTTGAATCTTTGATTCTCATCAACTTCAAGTCGCGCATGTGTTCCGGGATTTGCTCTCTTTATCATGTATAAGTATGCAGGTAGTAGCTCATACCCACTTTCAGGACTGCCTCTTACCAGATTTCTAGCATGTCTTAATGTTCGATAGGCCTTCCAATATTCAATCTACACCACAATGATGAAAATAGGGACCAAATAAGTCTGTGACAACTTAAATCTAGAGACCAAATAAGTCTGCGACAACTTAAATCTAGAGACCAAATAAATCTGCGACAACTTAAATCTAGAGACCAAATAAATCTGCGACAACTTAAATCTAGAGACCAAATAAATCTGCGACAACTTAAATCTAGAGACCAAATAAATCTGCGACAACTTAAATCTAGAGTGTTTTCGTTCTAAAAATCGGCCGCCTAGCCGCCTAGGCGGCCGCCTAGGCGCTGATCGGAGGAGCACCGCGGCGATTTTGTCCAAATCGGTGAGAAAAATCGGAGATCCGATTTTTTGTCCGCCTAGACCGCCTAGGCGGCCGCCTAGACCGCCTAGGCGGCCGCCTAGCCCGCCTAGACGGCGCCTAGCCCAATTTTTTTTTTTTTTTTTACTTTTTTTTTCATCTAAAATTCAAAACGTCCTACTTATGTTCGTAATTTGTATAAAAATCATAAATTTGAAATTAAAATCTTGTTTTCATGTTTTTAATACAATTTTAAAAACAATATTATATAAATTTCTTAATTATAATTGATTAATATGTTTTTAAAATATTAAATAGCCCTAAAACTAATCCCCGATTAATCCCCGTGTAATCCCCGATTTTCTTGCTAGGCGCTAGGCGCACCCTCACCGCCCGACTAGCGCCTAGCGATTTTTTGAACACGGGTTATTATTAAAAGATATGAGTCATTCTAGTTATTAATCCCCATATAAAGGTCATTCTAGTTATTTTCCCTTGTTTTTATGGCGGCAGTGGTTAAGAGATTTCAACGAACACAAGTCCCAGAACCACAAAACATCGCTATTATTACATTTTTTTTTTTTTGTCAAAGATCGCTATTATTACATTATTCATTCATTCACCATCCTCTCTTCTTCTTATGCCTTTACTTATGTTTTTCCTATTTACACTTCATCATATTATACTAAAGATTGTAATAGTGGACATATAGCTATTTTGAGGAAATATTTTGCACTTTACAATCTCATCTTTGTTCATAATTTTTTCATGCTTATGGTTTTTCTCATATTGTTAAGGAAAAATCATTGCCAGCTACACGAATTATACGCCAACACATCACCACACATGCAAACTATTTTAATGTCTCGCTAACTACACGAACTATTGGTATTACATACGGACATCCCCGAACTATCATCGGTTATGTGTGCAACACCATAACCATCATTTTCAGATAATATAAATGTCTTGTTAACTACACGAAGTATTTCTTTTTTTTGTCAACTACACGAAGTATTTTCCATCAAATTTTTTTTTAAAAAAAGTAATTAAAAAATAAAAAATAATTAAAAAGTAAATATTACACTATTATAAATTATATATATATATTATAACTTTTAATGCATTATACTTTTAAGTTAAATTAATTTAACTAATTTAATATTTATTATATTAAATTGTTAAAAATTTAAAATAGTCACTTAGTTAAATTATACATCACTATAAGTTAAATAAAACTATATAATATATCAATGTAAATTATATATACCATAACCATCATTTCCAGATAATATAAATGTATTGTTAACTACACGAAATATTTCCATCATTTTTTTAAAACTAAATTACAAAATGAAAAAATAACTAAAAGTAAATAATACACTATTGTTAATTATATATATGCATTATAACTTTTAAAGTTTAAATTCTATATATGGAGTATCCCTTATAATTTTAAGTTAAATTAATTAACTAATTCTTAATGCACACATATGTTTTATATGAAATTAATTTAACTAAATTTTTAAAAGTGTCACTTACTTAAATTATACATGTTCATTATAGGTTTAAGTTAATTAACAAATTTTTAATGAACACATATATTTTTTATGGAACTAGTTTAGTCTTTATTACATTAAAATTTTAAAGTTAGAATAGTTATAATGTACATATATAGTTTACATTGATATATTATATAGTTTTATTTAACTTATTAGTTTTAAAAAAAAATTAATGAAAATACTTCATGTAGTTGACAAAAAAAAGAAATACTTCGTGTAGTTAACAAGACATTTATATTATTTGGAAATGATGGTTATGGTGTTGCCACTACAAGAAATTTGTTCATTGATAGCGCTAAAAATATGCTATCTTACGTTATAGATAGCGAATTCACAAACGCTATGTTCTCGGCAGCTATAGTAGGTATCACCCATACAAAAGCATTTTTTGTCGTGCTATTATAAGTCCTTCTAGTATAGCACTAATCGAATGCTTTAATATAATTTTTTATAACTCATAATTTTTGCTATATTATATTTTTGTGTAGCAAATTTTATGTGCTACATTATAAAATGATGAATTGCAAAATTATTTTAAATCTATAAATTTAAAATCCAAATAATTATATGCTACAAAACCAATTTGTTGAAAGCACATTTCTTTTCATAGATCATCAAAAAATACATAATTGTAATTTTACAAAATAGTTCAGCATTTAACACCATTTGTTATAAAAACAAAGGTCATAAACAACGTCATAAGTACTGCAATTCAGATGGACTAAACAAAGAACTCCATTGGTTTGCTCTTTCCCTCCCTCCAAGGACTTAGGATGATGTCTCATTCCAAGCAATTCTCATTTCACTGCCTTCTCTATATCCTCTGCAGTTCAGTTCTCTTTTTGAAGTTGGATGTCTTTGTATGAGTAAAAGCAAGTGACTTTCTCAATTACTTCTACAAGATAATGGCTAGAAAACCGTGAGAAAAAGAGGGAACCTGAGATTCATGATGGTCTTTTTAGCATCAGACTTCAAAGACAATCCAATGACCTAAACAGCTTCTGTTGTAGCTTATTCACCAGCCTTAAAAAAAATATTAAAAGAAACTTGCCTTAGCCTTCTGGACCATGCTTCCTTTGTTCTTGTCTTTCATTCCCACAGTCAACAACGTTAACACCTCTGTTGGCAAACATGGAACAAAGGGAAAACAGATTACTGAATTATGATTTACAAAAAATAAACGTTGATGATAAGAAAGGAAATTTTACTTACTCTTCTATGTTGCTAGTCCATTGTGCTTCAGGATCGTAGAGATTGTTACCACATTTGTGATTGCTAAATACACAAAAGATTAGATTATACGTATATAACACACAAGACGAGAAACAGATCTAAACAAGATTAAGTGATAGTAAGAATCTATACCCATTCCAGGTATCACTCAAACTCCACTTCAAAAGCCTTTCTTTATCTCCTGCTTTCTCAATGAATCCAAGCACATGAGAGTACAATTACTAGCTAGGACTAGTATTAACCTTTTGTCCCTTCACTGTCAAAAACAGAACCCATGTAAGTTAAAAAAAAATAACGTGTGTATGAAATAAAAATGTAGTAGCTAACCAGAGAAACCCAAAACTTGTGACTTAGACAACCAAAACTTGCAAATTTAGAAACCAAAACCTGAAAATTCATAAACTAAAACCTGTAACAGAAAATCAAAACCTGCAGCCATCAATCTGGAAAGCTATTTCCACTTCCACAATCATCAGAAGCCATAAAAAACAGACTCCAATAAAGGATCAAGTATGAAACATTACCATTAACATTACAAATCTGTAGAGTAATCGTTATCTAAGTCGCAACAACCTAGACTAAAGTAACCAAATTAAATTCTTAAAGATCACATCCTAACAAATCTTAATAGAGTACACATGAACCATTTGAAGCAGCAATGAGAAAACGAGAAAAGTAACGACATCTTAATAGAGTAAACATGAACAATTGCAAACATTTTTCAAAGACTGCACATATATACCAAAGAGGAGACATTGCGACAGTCCATAAATAAGGCATGGTTTGCTTGAATCCTAAGAACTACGTGAGTAAAGACTCCATCATGTTCATTGAAAAAAAAACAAAGAAAAAGCGGAAAGACAGACCTCTCTTGGTTATTTCTTGAGCTTTGCTCTCTTGCCACTCTCACTAAATGGAAAAGAGCTCTGGAAGTATTTGAGGATTCATTGTATCTGGGAAACAAGTAAGATATTAGAGTAGAAAAAGGGAGAGTTCTATGATGTATGAAAATAGATATGTAAAAACTCACTAGAAGAACTCGATGGAGACTTTTTGCTTTCTAAATCGAAATCATTATCTCACTGCTAAATCAATCTAACCCAAATTCATCTACAATTGCTAATAAATCTAGTGAATCCTAACAAAATCGTACATATGGAGCCGAGAGAAAGAGAAAGACGGGAGTCGGAGGGAGAAGGATTAAGCAATTGATCGAGAAACCTTTCAGCTACGAAGAACCAAGCGACGAAGATGGTTTGGGTTTCACCTACGTTTCAGCCACCGAAATTAAATTTATGGTTTAAGGCTATCTCAGACCACCGACGAAGATGGAGACTGAAGATTTCATCAAATTGAAGAAGAATAAGATAAATTTGGGGATGAAAGCGAGGGTGACAAAGAGATAATGGATCTGAAATCTGAAGCGAAACTGATAAAATCTAATAGATCTAGGGTTGCATAATCAGAGGAAGAGAGTAAGCGAGAGAGGAGAAAAGAAGAATAGAGAGGTATAGGAGGAGAGAACGATGAAGGAGAAGAAGATAGAAATTAGGGTTGTCTCTTAATAATTTAAAAAAAAAAAATTTTTTGCTAAAGTGTTAAGCGGTTTTTGTGAAATATTTGCAAAGTTTTGGCGGTCATAAGTGATTCTACGTCTCTTCTTTGCTATTATAGGGCTTAGCATTTTTCAAATGCTACGATATAGTTACAAATCCCTCGATATCATCTTTAATAGCATTTGCAAAATCCGTGCTATCCGAATATGCTATCAATGCACACTTTTTTTGTAGTGCACACATAACCGATGATAGTTCGGGGATGTCCGTATGTAATACCAATAGTTCGTGTAGTTAGCGAAACATTAAAATCGTCTGCATGTGTGATGATGTGTTGGCGTATAGTTCGTGTAGCTGGCAATGATTTTTCCTATTGTTAATGGATTGGCCAAACAGTGTTTTTTTTTTTTTTTTTTGTAAACAGTGTATTTGTTTTGTTCATGCTCATATAATAAGCAAGTTCCTAACATCGTTGTAATTTCCTCTCAATATTTTTGGTTAGGAACATCTCATTTGATTAGCTCACGCTTATGCATTAGTTTCATCCAGCAAATCTCATAGAATGTAATTAAATTCCTAGAAAGAAAAGCAGAAGTTTGAGAAATTTAACACTAAAATGTCGCAAGTCAGAAGAAAGACATAAACATTATCACTTTTGGTCATGTTAGGTTTCTGTAAGAAGCCCAAATCTATCTAGCTTTAGTTATTCACCACTGCCACAGTACCGAACCACCTCTTCCATTAGCTTTACAAAAACCCCATAACCTTTCAGCACAACGAAACATAATCTAAGGTTACTTCTCCGTCAAGAAAATCATCTGTACCATGTAAGATAAACGAAAAAGTTGAAGAAAAGTGTAAAGGATTGAAGAAGCTGACTCAAACTTACATCTTTATTTCTTGATTAATGAGTACATAGTTTGATATTAATAAAAAAGAGAATAACAATCTAGAGAATGGCCAGGTGTCTTAATAGCTCATTGTTCATAATCCAAGAGTGCTCCGAATTTATTTGAAAGCTTGATTTGGTGAGGTTGCTTAGCCGTATTATTATCACGCACAGAGTACGCTCTGCTATTGACCGTTGCAAGTTTTAACTGCATCATGGAATTGTTCTGTTGATGTTGGCCCAATGCTCCACCTCCATTTCGCGCTTGGACTAATCTGTTGATTTTTCTGATAGTGAGCTTCTCATTCTCTTCTTCTTCTGATGATGATGGTTCTTATTCTATATGTACATATCCTTCGTCAAATGGAGTAATATAGATGTTTGACTTAAGTAGCTTTGGATCGTTAACATTGAGATACTCAACATGGTCTGCAAAGCGGTAGAAACTACTAGCATCATCTACAAAGAAGTGGACTCTACTAGGATTGTTGACCGCTTCATGGTATTCTCCAAAACCTTGGATTTCAACACGTTGGAGAGTGTTCTTTTCGGGATTGAAGTAGAAAACATAAAAGGGTTGTTTAAATGTAAAATCTCCCATCGACAAAACAATTTCACCCGAAGCAGTCACTCCCACGACGGAAACGTAATGATCTAAGAATTTATCATCCCTCAAAGTGTAGGCATATTCCAACCATTCCTGTTTCTCCGCATCCTCTAGAACCCACAAACGCAACTCAATAGCGTCATCATCATAATCATCATAATAAATCACACCTAATTTTCCCTTGTAGTTTATCAATTCACAAAAGCTTTCCGGATAAATAAACTTGAATTTCTCAGACATAACATCAAAGCAAACTATCACAAATTTATTCAACCTCTCAGACGTGTCACCTAAGTAATACAAAACCCCATCGATGCATATCCCTTCACTCACATTCTCATGTCTTAAGGAACATTTTATCCTTCTCCAACTCATTTCTCCAGTTCCTAATGTCATAATTTTATGGTGATTAGGACAACATGGGTAAGCCATGCACAATACCTTGTATTGCTTGTCAATAGGATCAAATCCCAAAAAGCTATACGCCCTTCTGTACCTATACAGATAAGGTAAGCTCGCATACCGTCCCGTTATAGGGTTACATAGCACAGGAACTCCATCGTAATGCTCTTGTTTGATCCACATACCATAGAAATACATCAAACCAGAAGCATAGCCACATGAAAATCGTCGGTCATTACCAGGATAAATCCTCATATTGTTTGGAGGGAACTTCATATGAAATTTGGGGGTTACTACAAAAGACGATGATGACTTCTCATATGGACTCTGATGCTGAGGTAACGAGAAGAAGCTCCACTGATCTTTTCCTTCGATAGCGAAAAAGAGACGCGGCTGCGGCTGAGCCTGAGCTGAGGACTTTGTCAATAACAACTCTTTGAAATATGGACGACTAAGCATTGGTGCCCATAGCTTCGACACACAATGAAACCTCGCAATTGACTTTGCAGGCAATCTCGACAATATCTCGAGGATGAGTTCAGTCGGTATGGAATCTGAAGCCATGATCGGTCTGATCTAACACAAACTGAGAAAGATATGTTATCACTAATATTAATTAAGAGAAAAAAAAAATAGAGAAAGCCTAGCTACCATAGCTGAAAAATGAGACATTAGAGGAGCTATACATAGTAAAACGAGAGGATTTCAAAAAATGATAACCAAAAACCATAATTTTAGGAAGCAGAAAATTTCTGAAACAAACCAAGATTAATTAACCAAAGATAGAGACGAAACCGAGTTGACGAAAATTTTGGATTTATACCATATTTTAAATTGTTATAATAAAATTCTGTTTGTGAAATGAAATCGTGAATGTAACGGAGACAAAATTTGAACAAACCCTAAAATATAAAAAATAAAGAGAATCAAAAAGGAGATATTTGTATTTTTTTCTTCACCATTTATGAAAATGAAAGACAAAGAATATTTAAAACTCACCGACGAGACGAATGGTGGAGAAATAAGCGGCGGAGAGGGAAACAAAAGGCCGGTGGTAACTTAAGTCCAATAGGTTTTTTTTTTTGTTTGTTGCAGTAAAACCTACAAAAATTAAAGGTGACTACTGACTACAATAATTAGGAACTACTCCTATTTATAACACCGAAAGATAAAAACATAAGGAGGTCTAGGGCATATTTGTTTAGGAAAATAAGAAATAAAACCAACACTCATTGCCATAGTAATTCTGATTACTCTCTATCATAACTTTGTTGCAAACCACCGGATTTTCTTCCGAAAAAGAATGACTCAAGAAGACTCCTTCTTCCAACAAACTCATCAACGCAATATTTTGACCCTTCTTATCAGGTAAAATCAGTAGATGGCTTCATTTCTCTCTCTACCTTGTTGAACATTTGTGCATGTTATTTGGTTTGAGTTGTGTGTATTTTTTTTGTCCTTTGTAATTTGAACTACGTACATGTAGCACTCAATTTTGGTTACTAAGACCTATTTCAATACATATACAAATTGTGGGATCTTTCTCCACATGACATATCTATATATACATTTTTGGAGTACACTTAGCAAATAAATCATAAAGTTTGAAAGTATTTACGAAGCAATGCCACTGGCATTGATTATTTAATTTTAAAATTTTAAATCAAAGATATTAATTACCAAAAAAATCTTAACACAATATCTTAACCATAACTAATCATTTCCATAATATAGTAAAGATATTAATTAATTTTGACAAACCAATTTTTTTAAGTAATTCATTTTTTAAATATATTTATTTTAATGTACATTTATTAAATTATGGTTACTATTCATTATTTGACAAACTCATTTTGCTATATTACTTATTATAAACCAAACTCATTTTGGCTATAAATAATTTGTTTAGTTATAAATTAGATTAACTCCAAAAAAAACTTTATTACCAAATATATAAATATTATTTATGTCTATGGAATAATATGTTATTTTAGATTATTATTATTTCATAAGGTTTCAAATATTATGAATATTTTAACTTTAAAAGAATTTTAAATATTATTAATTTGAAACTTATAAGAAATTTAAATGTTATAAATATTTAAATTTCATAAAACTTTTAAAGTATCTATAATATTTCAATTCTATAAAAAAGTTTATATATTAATAACATTGGAACTCTATAAAAATTATAAATATATATACTATAGAGACAATTTAATAGCAAACTTTTAAATTGACTCGAATTATATGTCTTCTAAATAAAATTATTATTAAAAGGAAAAATAACATGATGTTTAATTTCACGGGACGGGATTATATGGTGTGACGGGTTTGTGTCGATATTAATACAGAACGATATACTACGAGTGAAATCTTAGAATTAACAACAAAAATACAATTATGAAGTTTGGATCGATATTAAAACTTTTATGAAGTTTCAAATATTATAAATATTTAAACTTTATAAGAATTTATAAGAAGTTTAAACATTGTAAATATTTTAAGATGATAAAACGTTCAAAGTTATATAATATTTAAATTTTATAAAAAGTATATTATATTAATGATATTTTAACTCTATAAAATTAAAAATATATATATTATGGGAGCCATTTAAAGCAAACTTTTAAATTAACTCAAATTATATATGTTTTATACATTAAAATATTATAAAAAAATAAGAAAATAATGTTTAATTTCACGGGATATGGTTATATGGTAGGACGGGTTTGAATCAATATTAATACGAAGCGGTACTACGAGTGAAATCGTAGAATTAACTATCAAAATACAATAAATGCTAAACAAAACAAACAATATTAACAAAATAAATTCAACTTAAAATTTCAATTTTTAGTTATCAAAAATCGACCTGCGGGTTTAATGCGGGGTAATATATATATAATAAGTATATTTAAATCAAACAAAACAATAGATAATTTTCAAAAAATTTATAGCCCCGCAGTACACCGCGGGTTAAAATCTAGTATTAATAACAATTGTAAACTATAGCTGTTGTCCCCAAATCTATTAACCAATAGTAGTTCATCAAATTTAAAAAATTTTAATTAATGGTTCTTGAAATTCACAACTTATTAACATTAATTGATCAAAATATACAGAAAATCAATTTTTTCGAAGTGGAGGAAGCAATCAAGCCGGAAATAAAAGCAGTATTGGGAATTAATAACCTTGGTGGCATGGGCTCATATTTAGGGTTACCGGAAAGTCTAGGAGGTTCGAAGACAAAAATATTTTCGTTTGTTAGAGATAGGTTACAAACAAGGATAAATGGCTGGTCGGCAAAATTTTTATCAAAAGGCGGAAAAGAAGTAATGATTAAATCGGTAGCTGCGGCATTACCAACTTATGTTATGTCATGCTTCAGACTACCGAAAACAATTACTTCTAAACTTACAAGTGCGGTCGCAAAATTCTGGTGAAGTTCAAATGGTGATTCTAGAGGTATACATTGGATGGCGTGGAACAAACTGTGTAATAGTAAGTCGGAAGGTGGACTGGGTTTTCCAAATGTAGATGATTTTAATTCGGCTCTACTGGCAAAACAATTATGGCGTTTGATTACGGTCCCAGATTCTCTATTTGCGAAAGTTTTCAAAGGTCGGTATTTTCGCAAATCCAATCCTCTGGATAATATTAAATCATACTCTCCATCCTATGGATGGAGAAGTATATGTTCAGCTAGATCTCTGGTTAATAAAGGACTTATTAAAAGAGTCGGATATGGGGCTTCCATCTCAGTTTGGGAAGACCCGTGGATTCCAGCTCAATTCCCGAGACCAGCAAGAAGCAATGGTTCAATTATTAACCTGTCTTTAAAAGTTAATAATCTTGTAGATACACGGACAAATTTTTGGAAGATGGATCTCTTAAATGAGCTCTTTAATCCGGAAGATGTCTCTCTGATATGCGCTCTGCATTTGGGTGCGCCAACAAAGGAGGATAGTCTAGGTTGGCATTTCACAAAATCCGGAAAATATTCAGTTAAATCTGGATATCATACGGCCCGGCTAGAAAACCAGGAAAATACTTTGTCATTTATTGGCCCACAAATCAATTTACTAAAAGCACATACTTGGAAAGTGCATTGTCCGCCGAAGCTACGTCACTTTTTGTGGCAAATGTTAGCAGGTTGTGTTCCGGTCACAGAGAATCTGCGGAAAAGAGGGATAAATTGTGACATAGGATGCGCAAGGTGCGGTGCGGAAGTGGAAACTATTAATCATACAATTTTTGAATGCCACCCTGCACGGCAAATTTGGACGCTTTCGCAGATACCTACGGTTCCAGGAACGTTTCCTTCGGCGTCTATTTATACAAATTTGGACCACTTATTTTGGAGAATACCCTCAGAAGTCGATTCAACGTCATATCCTTGGATAATTTGGTATATCTGGAAAGCACGAAATGAGAAGCTTTTCGATAATGTGGATAAAGATCCACGTGAGGTTTTATGTTTAGCGGAAAAAGAGGCACAATCGTGGCAAGCAGCTCAAGTCGAGCTACATGCTGAAAATCTTGTTTCGTTGGTTCAGGATACTCGACCTCGAGTTAGGGATATTTCTCAGGATACCTCTTACTCTGGTCATCGTTGTTTCATCGATGGATCGTGGAAAGAAAGTGATAAATTTTCAGGTACATGCTGGGTATGTACCTCAGTTAATGGAGAGGCGCCAACCATGGGAGCTGCAAACCTACGTAGAAGTCTCTCTCCCTTACATACCGAAGTGGAAGCTCTTCTTTGGGAAATGAAGTGCATGATAGGTGCCGATAACCAAGATGTGGCTTTTTTCACAGACTGTTCAGACCTGGTGAAGATGGTGTCTTCTCCAACCGAATGGCTGGCATTTTCAGCGTATTTGGAGGAGTTACAGAGCGACAAAGAGGAATTCACAAATTTTTCTTTATCTTTAATTTCTCGTAGTGCAAATGTAAAAGCGGATAAATTGGCACGAAATGTTCGTACGTACCGAACCGCATCATATCACGTATGTAAACAACATTCCTCAAGAATGGCTCTTTTGAGTCTTAATTAATAGCGGTTGACAAAAAAAAAAAAATATTGGTTAATAGCTATGAAAAATGGTTTAATATGAATAAATAGTGTCTTTATAACTAAACATTAAATGTTTTTCTTGATTAGTGTGAAAACTCTACAAAATCAATATTTTTTATACGGAAGAAGTATATACTAACTTTAAAAAGTAAATCATCATGCGGTGTACCGCGAGTTAAAATCTAGTTTTGTAGTATTTGAATTAATCTTACTAGCTCACTCGACGAGAAGAGCTGAAACTAGTTTGATCAACTAAGGGGTTAGGACATATTTATTTAACATTTTTCTATTATTTTAATTGTACAACGAATTGCATTACGGTTCAAATCTGTTCGAGTGTTCTGGTTAGAACTAAGGGTTACCTAAATCCAGTGTTCTAAAAAGCGGTCTAGACGGTCGCCTAGGCCCCGACTAGGCGCTAGGCTCTCATGCGACGCCTAGATAACCGTCTTGAACGCCTAAAGTTACATAGATCTTGTTTAATGTATTTTTTTCAATTTTAATTAGAGTTTTATTTATATATATATAGTTATACATATTTATATATTGTTTAATATAAATATAAATAAATGTTTTATCTAGTTTTGTTTATAATTTCATACTTTTTAGTTTTATATAGACATTTTATATAACTTTTATATATAATATCATATTTATAATATTTTATGTTATAAACGTCTAAACCGCCTAGGCCCCGATTAGACGTTCTAGGCGCTAGGCACTGGGTCACCGCCCGCTTAGCGCCTAGTGCTTTCTTGAACACTGCCTAAATCTACTATACATTTTTGCAACACTTTTAAGGGATCCTAATCGGGTCGAATTTTGTTTCAATTTTGACCCGGAAATCTTCAATTGGATCTTCCCTTAAATGTTGGCAAAATTTTAAAACAAAATTATTTAATAAAATCTAAAAATATATATATATTCAACTAATTACTATACATGAACTCTTTATTTATGGCATATTCTCTATGATTTTTATAGATAAGGAAATCAAATATGATGATTTAATGCTAATATAACAAATTTGAGCTAATTTCCTAAAACTTCTCTACCTAATTTAAACATAAATATATGATTCTCATTTCACTTTTATATGATCTTATATTTATATTATTTTGAACTATTATAAAATTTATATAGTTAATAAAATTTCCGATTTTTTTTTGCAATACGCTGTGATTTAAATTTTTTAAAACAGACATATATTATTCAATCGATAAAGAAAAAAGTATGTGTACAATCTATATTAATATTTTTTAAGAACAAATTTGCGCGTTTAATCAGGTCATATTTTTTTTTTACTCTGTCCCGAAAATGAGTCATTCGGATATTTCCTTAATTTTTACAATTATCCAAAAGGGAACAATATACCACGGTTGAAATCCTAAAATTAACAAATCAAAATATAATTATTTAGTATTTTAAGATACAATTATAAATTATTTTTACGGGTTGGTACAAAAACCCACACTAATTTAAATATATATATATATATATATATATATATATATATATTATGGAAACCATTTGAAAGAAAACTTTTAAATTGACTTGAATTATATGTCTTTTAAATAAAAGCGTTATTAAAAGAAATAACAAAATGATGTTCAATTTTACGGGAATGGATTATATGGTGGGACGGGTTTGGATTGATATTAATACGGGACAATATATCACGGGTGAAATCGTAGGATTAACAAATCAAAATACAATTATACAATTTTAAACACTAAACAAAACAAATACAACTTAAAATTTCTATTTTTAGTTACAACGCATGTGACTCGCGGTGTACAACAAAAAAATATTATATACAACAAATTCATCAGTTTATAAAAAGATTAAAATCAAATCAAATAATTAACCCGCGGTGTACCGCGGGTCAAATCCTAGTTAATTGTACAAAAATTTAGTTTGGTTTGGTTCGGCTCAGCCGCTCAGGTAGTGATTTTATAGATATTTTTGCTATATGTATTTCGGTTTAAATTGGTTAAAAAGTTAGGAACTTTTTTCTTTTTTTTTTAGTTCAAGTTTGGTAATTCATGTAGTTTATTTGGATAAGAGTCTTGTTTAAATTGAAATAAGTATGCTATCAAAAGTTGGTGAATATAAAAAAAAAAATGCACATGTTGAAGTAAGTCCTTCTCCCTTACTCTAATACCAAAAATTTATAAATGTTTGGACCAATACTTGTTTCTGTCAGCTTAATATATTAACAAACTATATTTATTTTACTAGCAATTATAACTTAAATCTTGATTTTTATTTTGATTTCTAGAAAACAGAATAGAATTATATAATCCATTTTTTTTTCTTTTTCTTTTGTCAAAACAACATGCATGATAAACTTGGGTGTAGTAGTACAAATCATTATACAACTTGGGTGCAACATGCATTATTTTTAATTTGATTTAAGTTTGTTTAAAATAGTAAAAAATAAAGAAAATTTTGTTAACCAGATCTAAGAACAAAATGTCGTTTAAAATCACATGTTATCTTCTTCTATATACTTTTGTACTCTAGATTAAGGTTTTTAAATAAAAAAAATTATTGAATATCTCACAAAAAAACGTTTGGTCCACCATCACCACCAGATTGGTAGTAAAATTCAACCGGACATTTATTCCGGTTAGATCTCAAAAACAATAGTATTAAATAAATACTCAATAAGGAAAGGAGAAAGTCGAATTAATGCGTTTGATAAAATTGAAAAAAAAAAAAAGAAAAGATGATCGTCTGAATTAGATACGCACTAACCTCAAAGAGTCACTCTTAAATCATCTCTCTCGCCGAATTCTCCCCAACAAAAACATCAAATTTCGCCGGAAAATTCTCAGATTCCGGTAACTCTAAACTATGGCGTCGGATATTCCGTGTTGCGGAACCACGTTCTCGCTCTACGTCGTGATAATCATAGCTCTTGTAGCGTTCGCTGGTTTGATGGCTGGTTTAACGCTTGGTCTCATGTCTCTTGGATTAGTCGACCTCGAAGTTCTCATCAAATCTGGTCGTCCTCAAGATCGAATCAACGCCGGTTAGAGCTTTTTCCCTTTGTTTAATTTGAAATTGATGACGATTCTGGTGAAATTTTGAAGATTTCGTTGGTTTAATCTCGTTGTGTTCATCGATATAAGTGTAAACAAGTGATCGTATCTGGAAAAATTAGCATCTGTTGCTCTGTTTTGGTTCTTAGGTAAGATATTTCCAGTGGTGAAGAATCAGCATCTGTTGCTATGTACACTTTTGATCGGAAACTCTATGGCTATGGAGGTAACACTTGTATTTGATGCAGAGACTTGTATATATGGCTTTGATGATATCCCTTCATGTTTTGTTTGTAGGCTCTACCAATATTTTTGGATAAAATTGTGCCTCCATGGTTAGCTATTCTTCTTTCAGTGACTCTTATACTGGTGTTTGGAGAGGTTTTACATCTGTTACCTAAGTTTTTTTTTTTCGTTTCGATTTTGTACAGTTTTTGATTATAGTTTTGCTGTTGAGTATCTGCAGATAATGCCACAAGCAGTTTGTACTCGATACGGGCTCAAGGTTGGAGCGATAATGGCTCCTTTTGTTCGTGTTCTTCTTATATTGTTCTTCCCTATTTCATATCCAATCAGCAAGGTAGAGAAGAGTGTGAACCAAATTGTCTGTTTTGAAAATCAGCTTATAGACACTGAAATTGTTATTCCTTTTTGGTTTAATTGAAAATGCTCGGATAAAACTTGTTCATTTATTGCAAAGTTTCTCAATTCTGGTAGACATTGTTACTTTCAGGTTCTTGATTGGATGTTGGGTAAGGGACATGGTGTTCTTTTACGGAGAGCAGAGCTGAAGACATTTGTGAACTTCCATGGAAATGAGGTAAGCAGTGAGCTTAGGAATATGTCAATTAGTGATGTTTTCGCTATGACCTTGCAATTGAAAACTGAAGCTGTGTCGACTGGTGTGTCTCTTAGAGCCAACTTTTCTGACAGACTTTTGTTCATAATTCTTGTTTACTAGGCTGGGAAAGGTGGAGATCTAACAACCGATGAGACTTCTATCATCACGGGTGCACTTGAATTAACTGAAAAGACAGCAAAAGATGCAATGACTCCCATATCGAATGCATTTTCCCTTGAGCTTGATACAACTCTTAATTTGTGGGTTCTTTATTTTTGTTTTGCTTCAGTTATCTTCTATTTACACTTGTTCATCATGCTTATTTATAATTTGGAGTTATAATTTGCTATCTTCTACTATACAGGGAAACTTTGAATACAATAATGTCAGTTGGTCATAGCAGAGTTCCTGTTTATTTCAGAAATCCGACACATATAATTGGGCTCATTCTGGTACCTATCTTTCATATCGACACTCCATTATTTTTGGATAGTTGATGTTTCTATATCTTTTCTTATCTTTTAGGTACTAGAAGACTTTGTTTTTGTATTGTCTAGCTTCACAGCATGTAATGTCCCCTTTTGCTGATACAGGTTAAAAATCTTTTGGCAGTTGATGCCAGAAAGGAAGTTCCTCTGAGAAAAATGTCCATGAGAAAAATTCCGCGGTAAATGAATCTTTAAAGCTTACTTTCTTTCTTTACGACCAGGATTTAATGCATACACAGAGTTCATGTTCATAAGAAATTTTCTTTTCTCCAGTGTCTCTGAGACAATGCCACTATACGATATCCTAAATGAGTTCCAGAAGGGTCACAGTCACATAGCAGTTGTTTACAAGGATCTTGACGAGCAGGAGCAATCTCCCGAAACAAGTGAAAGTGGTATTGAACGCAGGAAGAACAAGAATACGAAAGACGAACTTTTTAAGGACAGTTGTAGGAAACCAAAAGCTCAGTTTAAGGTATCAGAGAAGGAAGGTATGACTCAGCATGACTTAAAGACATTTCATAGATAAACATGAAAACAACTTTCACTTGTTTCGGGAGATTTGACTCAGCATGACTTAAAGACATTTCATAGATAAACATGAACACATGTTAGCTTAATGTTTCTTTGGAACTGTAGTATTCAAAATTGAAACCGGAGATGCAAAATCCGGCAAGAGTGAGAACGGTGAGGAGCAGCAGGGGAAAACAAGTCTATTGGCTGCTCCAGCTAAGAAGCGACATAGAGGCTGTTCGTTCTGCATTTTGGATATTGAGAATACTCCCATACCTGATTTCCCTACCAATGAAGAAGTTGTAGGAGTTATCACCATGGAGGATGTTATCGAAGAGCTTCTTCAGGTAACTCAAACCGAAACATGAGCATCTACTTCACTTATTAGCATTAGAGAGTAAAGAATCATAGGCATTCGTTTCTTGCTCTGATTTTTCAGGAAGAGATCCTTGACGAAACCGATGAGTACGTAAACATCCACAACAGGATAAGAGTTAACATGCATGCTTCTCAGGAGAATCTACCAAGCGTAATAACCTCGATCACGCAATCATCTTCGGGTTCCACTAGTCCCAACCGAACATCTCATATGGCCACACCAGATTCAAGTCCTACAACAAAGCCATCAAGTTCAAGTCCCACAAGAAAACCTTCAGTATCAAGTCCTACGAGAAAGCCTTCAGATTCTTCCCACTCCATGGCACCAAAACATGAAGAGTCCACCCAAACTTTATGATATATCATATATGAGTGAAGAAGATAGATAGTTATATATTCTTAAAAGATGGTTTCTTTAACAGAATCGTTTGTCTATGTTTGAGATTAAGACTGGTTAATAGTTTCTTTGTACGTAAAGAAAAGGATGGATCTTTTACCAACAGAAAGAAAATAAGCTAAACTACAAAGTTCTTATTGGTAACATTCTACTTTAACCAAACAAAGAAATCGACAGTATTTGGCAAAACTGATTTACTGCAATCTGCTACAAGACACAGTAAACTCTAGAATCAGCGATTTAGTACTTAAGAGAGATGGGATTTACCAGACAAAAACTTCACTTATTACACAACTAAAGAACGTAACCTCATAGATAAGCACCAAAAGACATGCCCATTGCTTTTACCCTAACTCAATTGATCTTATTCTTCTTCTTCATCTTCATCTTCATCTTCTTCTTCTTCATCTTCATCTTCATCTTCATCTTCATCTTCATCTTCATCCTCTTCTTCTTCTTCTTCTTCTTCTTCTTCTTCTTCTTCTTCTTCTTCCTCTTCTTCTTCTACCTTCGCATTTGGACCATCATAGATTTTTGACTTCAGCAGCTTCGGTTCGTCAACATTTAGATACTCAACATGGTCTGCAAAACGGTAGAAACTACTGCAATCATCTACAAAGACGCGGACTCTGCTACGCTTGTCGAACACTCCATGGTATTCTTCAAAGCCTTGAATTTCAACACATTGGAGTGTGTTCCTTTCGGGATTGAAGTAGAACACATAAAACTGTTGTTTAGACATATAATCAGCCATTGACAGAACAATCTCACCCGCAGCACTCACTCCAACAATGGAAACGTAATTAGCCAAGAATTTATCATCCCTCAACTTGTAGGCATACTTTGACCACTCCATTTTCTCCTTGTCCTCTAGAACCCACAGACGCAACTCAATAGCATCATCAGCGTAATCATCATAAAAAATCAAACCTAACTTTCCCTTGTAGTTTATCACTTCACAATAGCTTCCTGGGTAAATGAAGCTGAATGTCTCAGACCTAACATCAAAACAAACTACCACAAAAGCAGTCATAAACTCAGATGTATCACCTACGTAATACACAACTCCATCGATGCATATCCCATCACTGGCGATGTCATGTCTTACTGAACAGTCTATCTTTCTCCAACTCATTTCACCAGCTCCAAATGTCAGAACTCTATGAGGATCAGGACCAGATGGGTAAGCCATGAACAACACCTTGTACTGCTTGTCAATCGGATCAAACCCGAAAAAGCTAAACGCCTTTCTGTACCTTTCCAGAAACGGTAAGGTCGCATACCGTCCTGTTATAGGGTTACATATCACAGGCACTCCATCATAAGCCCTCTCGTTGATCCACATACCATAGAAATACATCAAACCAGAGGCATAGCCACATGAAAACCGTCGGTCATGACGAGGATAGATCTGCATACCATCTGGAGGGAACTTCATGTGAAATTCAGGGGTTACTACAAGAGACAACGACGAAGACTTCTCATATGGAGTCAGATGCTGAGGCAACGAGAAGAAGCTCCACTGATTACGTTTTTCGATGGCGAATAAGAGACGCGGCTGAGCAGAGGAGGACCTGGTCAGGAACAACTCTGTGAAATGTGGACGACTAAGCATTGATGACCATTGCTTCGACACACAATGAAACCTTTTAACTGACTTTGCAGGCAATCTTGACAATATCTCGAGGATGAGTTCTTTCGGGAGGGAAACAGAAACCATGATCGATCTATTCGCTGATCCAACACAAAGAGAGAGATATGTTAAAAATCATATTAAGAACTAGAGAGAGTAACTGAAATCCGACCCTTTAGAGAGCTACAGCAAAACAAGAGCATTTCAAACGAAAAATCAAAACTTTAGCTGGCTACAACAACTAAAAATCATAACTTTTACCAAAAAAACAAAACTTTAGGAAGCTACAATAACCAAAAATCAAAATATTAGATAGCTACAATAACCAAAAAACATAAGTTTTACCAAAAATCAAAACTTTAGGAAGCTACAATAACCAAAAATCATAACTTTTACCAAAAACAAAACTTTAGGAAGCTACAATAACCAAAAATCAAAATATTCTATAGCTACAATAACCAAAAATCATAACTTTTACCTAAAACAAAACTTTAGGAAGCTACAATAACCAAAAATCAAAATATTAGATAGCTACAATAACCAAAAATCAAAACTTTAGATAGCTACACTAACAAAAAAATCATAACTTTAACCAAATAGCAAAGCTTAAGGTAGCTACAATAGCCAAAAATGATAACTTAAAGCTAGAGACAATGACCAAGGTTGAGAACATTTTGGATTTCTCGGTAAATCAAACACCTTATTGAAGTTCTGTTTGTGAAACTGAAAATGTAACAGAGACAAAATCTGAGCTCTGAAACTTAAACCCTAGAAGAAAAGAGCAGATGTAAATAGAGAAAATAATCGAAAAAGAAGAGATTTTTTTTTGTAAAGAATGTAACAGAGACAAAATTTGAACAGAAAAATGCGAGTCGGAAACATAATTCCTAGAAGAAAAAACGTAAAAGGTAAAAGAGGGAATCAAAAATAAAAGAGATTTTTTTGGTTTTCTTCACGAAATAAGAGAAATTTAGAGAAGGAAAGACAAAGAATATTTAAAACTCACCGACGTTACCAACGGCGGAGACGGATGAGCAGCGGCGACGTTTTGGAGAGTTTATCAGAGTTTTTTTTAACATTATTTTTTTTATCAGAGTTGTTTTTAACATTTTATTGTGACAAGTTTTTTTTTTGTTTCTATGTCGTCAATAAAATTTATGTAAGAAAAGTAAGAGAGGTTACATGAAAAATGGGCCAGTTCAAACAACTTTCAAGCCCAAAACAAAGGTCAGCAGAATTTGGAGCCCAATAAACGTTGAGGGAGAAAATTGGTCAAATAATTCCTTTTTTGCCGAAGAAAAATATAAGTAACCACCATTCATTAATTAAAGGAGACTTCAATCCATAAAATGGAGGATGAGAGAATAATTTCAAATGGAAGTAAAAGTCAAAGACAAATTTCAACACAAGAGAAATTGAACCAGAAAACCAGGAAAAACAAATTTCCGAAACTACATTGTATAATTGAAAAACATTGTATAGAGCAGTTGAACCAAGAAGATATAGGAGGTAGGCTTGTGACAAATATTCGAGATCCGCGGATATCCAGATCCGTATCCGGGATCCGATCCGAAAAACCGTTGTGAAAACGACGTTGTTTATGGTTAAAACGCAGACTACATAGTGTTCTAAAAGGCAGTCTACGTGGTCGCCTAGGCCCCGACTAAGCGCTAGGCTCTCATGCGACGCGTAGGTAACCGCCTTGACCGCCTAAAATTACATAGATTTTGTTTAATGTGTGTATTCAATTTTAATTAGAGTTTTATTTATATACTAGATCATCACCCGTACTACAGTACGGGTTGAATTTCATTAATTATAAAATTTAGAAATTTTATGTTTTAGAATAAAGTTGTGATATATTATAATAGTAATTAAAAAAATTATTATTTTTTTGTCAGTCCATATATATAATATTAGAATGAATATATTTTCCTTTTTCTATAGTATTCAATTATGAATAATTTTTAAAGATATGAAAACGAAAAATAAGATTATTTTTTCAAAATTAATATTGTTTAGTTAGCTTATGTTAACAACCACAAAATTAGATTGCATATAATTCAGTTAGATCAAAAATTAAAATATCATAAATGAATCGCATCTAAAATGTATATTATTTGAATTAATTAAGAAAGTTAGCTATTAATTTGAATTAATTTAGGAAACTTTTTTTTTGAATTTCTAATATTTTGGTTGTTGAAATAGAGATTTGTTTGATCTAATTACGGAATTTACCAATTATTTGCATAATCGAATATGTTATGAACATATATTTGGTATATAATAATATCAAATTCAATCAGTGCGTGGAGTCTATATTTTACTTTTAGAATCCAAATGAAAATATTGTCTGCACAATCTATTATTCATTTTTTTTTTATAAAATTGCTTGCATTATCAAAATTTCAAATATTTAGAAGTGTCAAACCTTATTTAACCCATCTCATCATATAATCTTAACAGGCCGTCTGTTATAAGGATCATAACTTTTTATTAGCATAATAGGACTCTACTAAACAAAGCCAAAGTCATGCATTAAAACACACTACTTTGCGTCTAGAGACACTTATTTAAACCTTATAAAAATCAAAAGAGTCGACGGACTCTTTTAGTTTCCCCGTGCACGTGGGGGACAACCTCCACTATTAATACAATATATTTGACCCGTCGTCTGATATAAATATTTTCAATATATCTTTTTAGAAATTAAATTAAAGTATTTGTAATTTTTTTATCTTTTTAATCTATTAAATATTTATTCTATTCTTTAAAATATTAATTAAACTATTTTTAAAGGTTTCAAATTAAAATCTTTAATCTTTTTATTGTAGTATATAAAATTATGAATTAAAAAAAAATTATATGAAATTAAATATAAATATCCAAATAGTTGTAAGGATCATAACGCATTTCATCATATAATACATTATGTTTAACCCGCCGCCTATTATAAATATTTGTTTCAAAAAAATCAAATTAGAGTATTTATAATTTTTAACTTTTTTGATCTATTAAGTATTGATGATATTCTTTAAAAATATCAATTAAAACTAATTTTAAATGTTGCAAATTAAAATATTTTAAAAGTTTATTGTAGTATATAAAATTATACATTTCAAAAAAATAAATGTAAGAAATTGAATATAAATATTCAAATAGTTGTAAGGATCATAGTTGTAAGTAGGGATGGGCATAAAATCCGAAATCCGAAAACCGACCCGAAACGGATCCGAAAAATCCAGAACCGAATCCGAACCGAATAATCACAAAATCCGAACGGATAATGAATTCTTCTATCCGAATTTCCCGAACCGAATCCGATCCGAACCGAAAACCGAAAGGATATCTGAAAATCGAAAAAAAAAATTATATATCCAAAAATATTAGTTATATTTAGTTGTAATTTTATAGCAAATAACAAAAATATTCTAAATAACCTAGATTTCGGAAAAATTTTAGTTATATTTGTTAATGTTATACATATTTTTGCAAAATTTAACCAAAGTTTAGTAAGATTAAGGGCCTGATTGGTAACAGCTGTAGCTTTACATTTTTTGATGTAGAAATATGACTGTAGGTTTATTTGATGTGGCTGTAGATTTTATTGCTGTAATATTTTGGCTGTAGAATTTAAAATTTTGGAAAGTTGAAAATTATGTGCTTTAGGAAAAAAGGCTTTCTACAGCCAAAAAAATAAATTAAAGAAATATTTTGGCTGTGAGAAAAAAAAAAAGAAAGCTAAAGCTTCTAAAGCTTGATTGGATGTATTTCAAATCTTTAGAAATTTTTTTGCTTTGTAAAGACTCTAAAGCACTTGCCAATCAGGCTCTAAAACCGATTTTTATTTAAATTGAACAAATTTTTAGTTTTTGTCCCGAAAACCGATCCGAATCCGACACATATCCGAACCGAAACCGAACCGATGACTCATAAAATCTGAACGGATAATAAAATCTCCTATCCAAATTATCCGAAGCCGAATATATCCGAACCGAAACTGAACCGAAAGTCATAAAATCCGAACGGATAATAAACTCTCATATCCGAATTATCCGAATCCGAATATATCCGATCCGAATCCGATCCGAAATCTGAATGCCCAGGCCTAGTTGTAAGGATATAAATATTCAATTTATTTTTTTTTAAAAGAAATATATTACTCAAATCTGAATTTTTGACCCGTTAAATTTTTTTTTTCATAGATTGAACAATTTATATTCGTTTTTAAAAATTCAAATCTTGGCATATGCGAAATTTTTTTTACTTTTTTTTTGTTATCTGGATGATATGATGATTTATTTGTTTCATAAAAATATAATCATATAAAGATGAGAGGTGAAGTATAATGATTAATAACAAATTAATATGGTAAGTTAGATATCAAATCTTATATGTTCATTTTGATTGGTCATTCTTTTTTTTTTTTTAATTACTAATATATTTTCGTTTTTATAATTAAATTACTTAAATTATATAAATTAGTATTTGACTTGTTTATCCTTAATTAGCTGAATTAATTTACTTTTTAAAATTTTATCTCTAATGGCATTTCAAGGTAATAATTTACAAAAAGCAAGTTTAATTCTTAAATGTGCTCCCCAAATAATAGTATAGGATATATATAATTATAAATATTCATATTTATTTGATATAAATATAAATAAATGTTTTACCTAGTTTTTGTTTATAATTTCATAATTTTTAGTTTTATATAACTTATATATATAATATCATATTTATAATATTTTATATTATAAACGTCTAAACCGTCTAAAAAATCGCCTAGGTCCCGATTAGACGTTCTAGGCGCTAGGCATTGGGTCACCGCCCGCTTAGCGCCTAGCGCTTTCTTGAACACTCTAGCCAACTTGCTATTAACGGAACAGAAACATCGTTTGGGGACTTGGGCCGAGTTTAGTTTATGTATGAAATTCAAATTTGTTGTGAGTTTATGTAGTTGTAAGCACACCAAAAGGTTGAGCGTATACACCAAACAACAAAGTTTGTGGGAGAATCGGCCTTTTGTTTTCGAACAATTTGTTTTCATCCCATTCATTTAAGGATAACCATTTGCACAATAAATTTGCAGTTTTCAACATGTTGTAGATTGTAAGAACAAAATTAGACAGGTTTACTTTTCTTATCTTTGAAGACATAACTCTGGAAGAGAGGCACATAAAACTTATGAGGGAAGAAGACGAGATATAATTAAAGTTACATGAAAAATGATTTGCTTCTATCAAGAATTTGTCTTCGGTTTATACATTGAAATAATTGCACACAGACTTGCATATCTTCTTTACCCTCTCTCCCTAAACGACCCACAATTTCAACAGAAGTAATAAAGCTACTGTTGCTGGTAGTTAGTTCTACTCATTTTTGAAATACCAAAGAACAGAGTGATCACAAATGGACAAAAAAAAGAAAAAAATGAAAAGAACTTATGAATTACCTCTACTTTGAAACAAGTTTGATGTCGGATTACATTGAATCCAAGTCGTCGTGTAGTGGGGAGCCATATCAAAAGAAAGAAAAAAATAAACTGCTTTGGAGTCTGCTGGAGAATGGTAAGAATGTTGGTGGTTGATCAAGGAATTTCATATATCTCTGGGTGAAAAATTACAACCCGAAGATCCTTGAACCGCTCCAATTTACTCACAATACTGTTTTGTTAGTTGCTTTGCCAATAAATTGCAGATTGCTGGCTAGTCGCTTTCACTACTATGTCTATCTGAACATCCAAAAAAGGTTACAATTAGCTTTCGTATGAAATCTATAGACAGATTCTTAGTCGATTTGCAAAATAACGGGTGGGAATGTAAGTAGAGTAGGTACCTCCCGATGATCTTTTCCCTTCCATTGCGTCTTTCTTATCTTGGCAACTTGCGCAAAGGAATGGACCATCCCAGGGACGAAGCTTACGGCAATTATCTGACCCAGCATGGATCGACACACCTTCTCCAGGTTTCACTTCTACTTGACACACAGCACACATGAACAACTTAAACATATTGCAAAGCGGGTACTTTGTATCTAATCTGCAATAAATAGAACAAAAAAAAAGAAGAGTTGATGAAGATAAGTAGATCGCAACGAGCCTCTCAAA